GGGTGTAAGTAGACCTGCAAACATCGAGACACGAGGCTGCTGCTAATGCTGTTGTGTCTGGTGGTGTAGGATGTAAGTAGACCTGCGAACATTAAAACACGAGGCTGCTGCTAATTCTGTCGTGTCTGGGGGTGTAGTATGTAAGTAAACATGCGAACGTCAAGATACGAGGCTGCTGCTAATGCTGTCGTGTCTGGTGGTAGATTGTAAGTAGACATGCGAACATCAAAACACAAGGCTGCCGCTAATGATGTCGTGTCTGATGGTGTAGTATGTAAGTAGACCTGTTAACATTATGACGCGAGACTGCTGCTGATGCTGTTGTGTCTGGTGGTGTAGCTTGTAAGTAGACCTGCGAGCGCCAAGATATGAGGCTGCTGCTAACACTGTGTGTCTGGTGGTGTAGCATGTAAGTAGACCTGCAAACATTAAGACACGAGGCTGCTGCTAATGCCGTTGTGTCCGGTGGTGTAGAATGTAAGTAAACCTGCGAAGATTAAGATGCGAGGCTGCTGCTGATGCTGTTGTGTCTGGTGGTGTAGGATGTAAGTAGACCTGCGAATGTCGAGATACGAGACTGCTGCTAATGCTGTTGTGTCTGGTGGTGTAGCATGTAAGTAAATCTGCGGACATCGAGATACGAGGCTGCTGCTAATGCTGGTGTGTCTGGTGGTGTAGCATGTAAGTCGATTCATGAACGGCAGTCTTTGAACAAGCCGTAACGTGGATACAGACCGATCTCTGGATCCGTGGCTTCGACAATGAGTTCGCTCTCGAATACTTCAAAAGCTTGCCATCGGGTCTGCTACCGATTCAGCCTGCACCAATCCGGTGCTGTACCCGTTGCACCTCAATTGTAGCTGATCGGTGTAAAATCAGTCTTTTCGACCTCAAAGCTACTGAATCGAGTTGCCAGATCTGCGCTTTGCTCCTTCGTTCAGCTAAAACACATTGCGACGACACGGAACAAGACATTCGAATCGTACGCGAGGAATCGTGGTTGAGGTTAGGACGTAGGGGGCGCCGAATTCTTCGGTTGGGTTGTACTCCAGGTTAGTGTCTTCAACTTACACGCAAAGTAAGGATTTTCTGCTCATTATGCATATCTACTCTAGAGTATTCTTCTGGTGCAAGCGGAAACCTCCAGATCAGTTTCCCAGCTTTACCAGCAGCTGGAGGCGTTACACAATTTGCGCTACTTAGAGCGTGGCTTCGTTGGTGTGATGATTCCCACGACTGCGCGAGGCATACTGCAGAAGTCGACATAGCAATGCCAAGCAGGCTTCTCGACGTTACGAATCTAAATCTCGATCTCCTGCGTCTCTTTCGTCCTAAGAAAAGGGACAATACGAAGTACGTAGCATTATCTCATTGCTGGGGTAACCTCACCGATAAAGAGAAGCGGAAGTTCTGCACGTTCGATGACAATATCAAAGATCGACTCAAGGGTTTCACCTTCTCTGAGCTACCAAAAACATTCCAGGATGCAATCCGAGTAACTCGGGAGCTCGGCATTCAATACCTCTGGATCGATTCACTCTGCATAATCCAGGAGAACCAGAAAGATTGGGAGCATGAGGCCAAACGTATGGAAAGCGTCTACGCTTTAGCTTATTGCACAATCGCTGCAACTTCAGCTGTCGACTCGAACGCGGGATTTCTCGAGCGGAACGTAAGCAACGAGTATGTTTCCGCTCAAGACATCTCAGGCCGACGATTCTACGTCTGTACCGACCTTGACGATTTCGACAACGACGTGGAAAACGCTCATCTCAACAAGCGAGCCTGGGTGATGCAGGAAAGGGTCTTGTCTCGACGAACTATCCACTTTACTACCAACCAGGTGTATTTTGAATGTGGGGGCGGGATTTACTGCGAAAACTTTGCTACACTGAAAAGGTAAGAATCTAACCAACCCCGATACACCCAAAACTTTCTAATCTGGGCACTCTAATCCTCAGCTCTATTCGGAAGAAGTACTTCATGCTTGATCCAAATTTCCCGGATCGGCTCCTTGCATCAGGCAATCAACGTGCGATAGAATTTATTAGTTTTCTTTCTGAGGAGTACTCGAAGCGTGGTCTGACAAAGAAGACCGACAGATCTGTTGCAATATCTGGACTAGGGGCCCGTATTGCACGCGCTAGGAAGTGTGAAACCAAATACGGGGTCTTTCAGCCATATCTTCACAGAAATCTTCTATGGCAGAGGTCTGGGGAGAAAAAGATGAAGCGGATCGGCTACGAAAGCCAGGCTGTGCCAACTTGGTCATGGATGGCATATGACGGAAGCATCCAGTTCTTGGATATCCCTTTCGGCGGCGTGGAATGGGTGCACGGCCTGCGACTCAGTAAGGGGTACAAATATGGCTGGTTCAACAAGAACAAGAGGGCCAAACCTGCGTTGGTCACCGACATAGGCGTTTTCCGGAATTGCAGCCTGGAACAGAGGGATATGAACTATACAATATTGGACTCGGACAAGGCAGAAATAGGGTGTATTCGGTACGATGTGGATGGGAGCGAGAGCCTCGATGATGAACTATGTTGTGTCGTTGGGCGGCATGTTAGTTGGGACAAGTACTATATATTAGTTGTCCGGTGGGTTGGCGTGGACAAAGAGTATACAAGGGTCGGAGTCGGGTGGATCCAAGGTGATTATATAGTGACGCAGATGCGCAACGTGCGTCTTGTATGAATGGCATTGCACGTAGCGGAACGATGAATGGATACACTAGTACAGGGTAAAACCACAAGGTACAACCAACATATAGACTCTATCTTCCTGTATTATGAGTGCTTGGTTGGTTCCAGCTTGTGAAGCCATATCAAGACTGCTGTCTGAGCTGAGTGTTTTTGCCGCATTCTTGGCTAGCGGGGCGTTGGCATAGAAAGGGTTCAGCAATAGCAGTAACTACGGTCATATAAGCGTACAGCACACAATTGCTCGTGGAAGACAAATACTGCCAACTAAGCCCTTAGCAAGAAGAGGCCGATTAGCACCGGCTGCAGGATGACGAGGCAGCTGTCAGGCAACTAGAGGGAGGCCGTGCAGGACAGTCCTGGGGAACAACAAACTGGGCACATGGCCGTAATCGGACACTTCTAAAACTCTCCGTCACGCGCCACAGCTGTTCTGGGAGGTCGTGATATCTGAGCACGCTACTGCAAAGTTCCCAAGCCAAGACGTACTAACACATCCCGCCACGTTGGGCCGCTCTCAGGGATCTCCTCCGCCGCCCAACAGGACCCCCGGCATGCTCGCTCCTACGTTGAACCAACACTCGAAGCCTAGAGAAGCAATCCCCTTAGTAGGACTTCCTCCCTAGCCCTCCGAGATCTGGAGAGACTCTCAATGTCACGAGTAGACAGGGGTGCATTGTGAAAGGTTCCATCGACGGCATTGACGGAACAATCCACAGCGCAACCAACACCGGAGCGATTCAGGTCGGAGGCTCATGTGAGAGGGGAGAAGTAGCCGTAGGGTTATGTTGTGTCAAGTACACCCTTGTAAACTTGCATGGGAAAATTCCAGAGGTCCGGACCGTGAACTTGTCTCACAACAGGGTGTTTCTTCACTCAGGAACGCACTTTAAGCCCTTGGGGTATTCTGGTGTAACTCATACGATGAAACTGTCTGAGGTCCGGCAGTCTGGAGTCGAGGGAGTTTGAAACACGTCTCCTCGTGGGGTACAAAGGAAGAAATACCAGTGCTGATCGTATAGCGAATAGCCTGACGATTGGTTGATTGTTGATAGAAGGCTAAAGCGACCTGCGTACGCGATTGGCTGACGGAGAGAGGACTCGCAAGGAGAGTACTGCATAAGTTGGCGTCTACCGCACCTGGAGAGGTGAGTTGGTCTGATGCAGTGCGTTAGTACGTCGCACATGATGGCATTGTCGGAGGTGATGTGTGAGGCTGGAGCTCTTCAAAGCTCGCAACTTTGACGAAAGCAGGATTTCCCGTTTGGTTGCTTGATCTCCGACTGCACAGATCTGCGATGCATGGTTGATCAACGTAGATGTAATCCTTCTCTTGTATTGCATATATACAACAGTATCAACCTCACCCAAACGCCGTCCCAATGTTGTGATCGCTGATAAGACACCTCCTGCGTGCGCGCTGGCGCATCGTCTGTCTCGCCGTTCCGTGGGTATACAAGTAGTGTACAAAGCTCGATGCGCCGCCATCCGATTTCCGCTTAGTTTCGCTTGTGAGGGCCGATGATCTTGGGGTACATCCTCGACAGGTGGTAGTTGATGTTGTTCTTCTTCTGGTTGTTGTCGCGCTGCGTGGTGTTAGAGCATGCTCGATGTCGAACGTCAAGCCAGCACATACCGGCTGATCCATGCACTGCCGCAGTTTCTGCTCCAGTTGTGCGCAGCCTTGCACACTGTATCCTGACGATGCCCAGCAACCTGTAGTAGACGAGTCAGCCCGTGTTCCGCCTGGTCGTCCCACTTCCTATCCATCCTCCTGTTCTTGCACATCCACCTCTATATCCACTCCCCCCCGCAGAATCGCACATACCCAACACTGATGACATTGCGCCGAGGCATGGGTTGGTCTCTGGCTTGTTCGGACGGCGGACGCGGAGCTTGGGGAGCGGGGGCAGAGGGCGATGCGTGACCGACTGCATGGCCTGGCCCTGTGGCTTTGGCACCATTCTGACGTGTGTGTGGGGCGGTTTCGATGTGATGGAGACGGGGTGCGACGATTGATCGACCGGGCGACGGGTGTGAGGGCGTTGCTATGCGCGGTGCTGTCTTCGTGAATTGATGGCTCGGCCAAAAAGTTGGAGCGGCAAACGCCGAAACTGGCAAAGGCAGGCGCGACCCATGACCCCTGCTAGCGCAACGCTGCAGTACTTCGTAAACAAACACACGTCTTGCGCGTCAAACATCATTACGTCGGTTCGGAAGAGAGTGCGGGCTTGGAGTTCTCGGTCGGGCAGCGTTTGCATACTAACCAGCAGCTTCACTTCACACTCGCCGCCATGGCTCCTTCCCCGCGCAAACGTCTGTTGTCGCCGCGCAAACGCCTACCGCCTACACCGTTCAATCAGACATGGCACGAGACCGACACAGCACACCTCGACCCCAGCGCCCTGCCTGTCGCCCGCATACCTCGAGGCTGGGAGCGCAAGCGCGAAGTCACGCAAGTCAGTGAGGGCAAAGCGAAGAGCATCTGGCGGAGATTCAACTCGCGGTCGAGCATCATCAACGGGCAGCAAGAAGATGAGACGGAAGAGGAGGAGCTTGATGCACAGTCACGTGCTGTGAAGAGGCGGCAGAGGATGAGCCCCGAAGCTATGGAGAAGATGCAGGGCAACAAGCGCGCCTTCAAGGGCACACGCTGGGACCGGAGAAAGAGCGTCCTTCCCCGTACGCGACCTCCCAAGTGGTAGAAGGGGCATAACACTAACAAGGCATGCAGGCAAGAGGTCTGCGCACAGTAGCGAGGCTTTGCACGAAGGCCAGAGCGAGAGCGACGACACGCAAGACGCAACAGACGCGGACATGAGCCACGAGAGCTTGGCAGAGGTACCACATGCGCACGAGGGCCCGTCATCATTTACATTCGCCATAGACACAGCACAGACGCTGGACGAGCTGCCGGACTATGAGAGCCTAGACGAGCAGGACGGCGAGCAGAAGCTGGGCAACATACTCCCAGAAGACTCGACCTTCGCACTCATCTTCAGATCACCCGTCAAGGGCAGTTCGGCACCACTTTCGACGTCACCCGCCAAGCCCGATTACCCTGCGTTACCACACAGCGAAAAGGGGAAGGAACAATTGGAAGCATCGTCTGAGCAAGCCGTAGGAGAGGAGGTCACGGTCACGGGCCCAACTGTCGAGAGCGCTGTTGCTGCGGTCATCGCCAATGTACCGACTTCCACTACGTACATACCGGAGAGCGATGCAGTAGTCAGAAGCCGGGATGAGGATGGCACAGACACGACAAACACAGCGAACACGGCGCAAGCTGAGGTCATGGCTGCAGACCCGACCGAATCATCGAGCGCAGAAACCCTTCAAGCTCAACTGGACGATGCAGAGGAACTTACCTACCCAGCACTACCGACCGGATCCACTTCAGATGACCCGGTTGGTGACGCGCAGACCAATGACGATACGCGCGCAGGAGACGAAGAAGAGGATGATGACGCTGAGATGTCTGAGGTAGACCTGGGTACCTTCACAGCCTCTGCCAAGCCTGCAAACAACGACACAGCTGAAACGGTCGAAGACGAGTCCGCCGACGAAGAGGTTACTGAAGCCTCGTTGCAGTTAGATATCCAAGGAGAGTACGAGCGGGAGGGCGAGCTTGCATCCCAGCCACCAACACCGAAGCCGGCTGAGAAAGGAGCACACAACATCGCAGACGGCCTGATACTCACCCCTATACCGGCGAAGGCTCACTCGAAAGAGCACACACCCAAGACGTTGCGCTCACCGCCACCACCACTGCGCATCGAATCTGGTCCTGATGATGCAACGGTGACACTCGCAATCGACGATGATACTGCCATATTGAAGAGCTTCCTCAGCCGAGCAGCTGCTAGCAAGGCTGAAAGGTCTGCGATTATCACCCGGCGATCTTCTCTGGAAAACCGGCGAGACTCAGACATTGTTCGCCACGCCCTGGCGTCGCCTCGCAAGGCTCTTGAGGAGAAAGACCCCAACTCACCATCCAAAACCGACAGCGAAGCAACATTCGATCTGTCCGAGACACCAGTGCTAAGCCCAGAGATCGAGGAGTCAGCATCGCCCACGCTAGAACAGCCTGAGGCCAAGGACACCGCAGAAGCGAAGACTGGACAGGGCTCGCGACGCTCCTCTCGTGCAAAGAAGTCCCGTCTCCCAGCTCCAGCCACAACCACTCAACCCCAGGCCTCCAACAAGATCGCCATCCGCCGCGCTGACGGCACCGACCCTGTAGTCCTTAAGAAGACCGACGCCCAAGAACTCGCCCTCATCACCAAGAACAACACACGCAAGAACAAGCAGGGCGCTTTCATGGTCAGTCTTCGCCTGCTCAAGCTCCAGGCCGAAGCCATCCTATCTCCTACAGCGGATATGGTCGCAGACGCAGAGAAACCCCCAGCTCCAGGCAGGAGGGGAATCAGATGGGACGAAACGCTAGCATACTACCAGGAGCACGCCGACACTATCGCCGCGCAGCAAGTCGAAGCAGAGAGTCTGGCTACCCCAGATGAACTGAGCCTCCCAGCGCTAACAGCTACGAAGAAACCAAAGGCAAAGACGAGTATAGACAAGAACTTGACGCCTAAGATCCGTCGCGTGCGTGGGCTCGGCACAGCGAATGGTACACCAGGGAAGGGTTTGTTGGCGACTGGATCCCTACTCCCGGATGCCGTGCAGGAAGAGAAGAGTGCTGCCCAGCCTGCGCCGACGAAGGGCATACCTAAGCCCAAAGCTACCAAGAAGTTGCCTGTTCCTTCGACGCCTACGGACTCGAAGCTCGCGGCGCTTGAAGTTGCGCCTGTTGGTGTCGAGCCGATTAAGGAACGCAAGAGTCGCCTCGCCCCGCCGAAGAGTGTAAGGCTCCCAAAGCCTGTTGCTAATGCAGTGCTGGTTAAGGCGGAAGAGAAGGAGAATACGAGCACAGGGGTTAGTGGCGCGACGCCGAGGAAGGGTATTCCAGCTCCGAGGGTTGTGGCGCCGAAGAGTGTTGCGGCTTCGGCGCCAGCTGTGCGTGTGGAGAGTGGGCTGCCTAGACGGCGAGGACGGAAGGTTTGAGGTTCTACGGGTGAAGGTGATGGTGGCAGCGCTTTGTCGTGTTGTGTGATGAGTGATGACTTGGGCGCTCTGTGTGCTTTGCTACATTCTGGAGTTCTATACCTTTGCATTTACGCGGGCGGTAGAGGTGCATAGTTACTAAAATCCATCCCTGCGGTTCGAATAACCCTCCGCGCCAAATCAGATTTCTAGTCCAGCGCTTTGCACCTCAACGCCGTAGGTGTACAGAGTCGTAGTTGGTCTAATAATGTTTTTAAGGCACATCGTCCTCTGTGTTTAGTCTGCAGCATAAAATTACAGCAGTCTTAGGTATGCTGTTGATCGTTTTGTGCACAGCATCAGAAGCGACAACGGCTGTATGCCCCTGCTACATCACTACTATCTGCCCAAAGCATGATCGAGGCTGAATTGTGGAGGCGTGGACACAGTTGGCAAAGAGCATTTCACCTACCTGCACAGTCCTGCAAGAGACAGTCTAACAAGCCGGAACCTTCCTTCCACCAATTCATCTATCTCAGAGAGCAGTTGGTATCCCCAGCTGGCCCCTCTCACACACGAGACGGACACAAAGACATTGTTGAGGTGCTGCTTAGCGTTGGCAAGGCTGACGTTGACGCGAAGGACAACGAAGGATGGACACCACTTAAGCTGGCGGCACGTTACACGCACAAGGATACAATAGAGCTGCTGCGATCATTTGTCGACCGTACTTGAGGACATAAATGTAATCGTTCGGGTCTAGACACTCACGAATATTGAAAGATCATAGGGAAATCGGGAAGACGCCGACATTATGTCCCGCCTCGGGTCTGTAAGAAGATATTCTCTGGTCCAACATTAGCAACAGCAGCTGTCAAAGACCATATCCTGATCAGTTAGCGTACGTATCAGCTACACCTGCAGAGAGGGCTTGCGATGCCGTAGAACAAGAATAGAGGAAGAGATATCTTGCAAACATTATTAGACCAACTCCAACTTTGTACACCTGCGGCATTAAGGTACAAAGTGCTTGGACTAGAAATCTGATTTGGCGCAAGGGGTTATTCGAACTGCAGGGATGGACTTTACTCGGTAGGCGTTGATATGGGAGGCATTGTGTTGGCGTCTGAGTACGATTGCAATCTGTTCATTCCATCCAATCCTTTCACAGGTTCCATAGCACTGGAGCTCTCGCTGAATCCAACGAAGGATTTACAGACATTTCAGACAGTAGTGTCATGCCCATGTCCTGAGGAGGTGATCGATGTATGACAGTCGCGGGACATATACGTAAGTGTGTACTTGCACAGGCACTCATCAAAGTCTGCTGATACCTATGTGAGTATGAGACCCGTGATGATACGTGCCGCCTTCGGGTGGACTTGTGGACTCGGTGACTTAGCTCAAAGGGTGTTGATCAGGTAGTGCAGAGGACTGGTTCAAGGTCAAGGCACGTCACGTAAGGGGTTCGTAGACTACTTGGGTTACCCTTACTTTGTACAAGTACCCCGGCCACTATATCCCAGCGTGTAGGTGTAGAATTGCCTATTACACCAAGCAGACCCGTGCCTTAATTGAGTGGGTGTACGTTTCTCTAACAAGCACTACCTCCCATTCCTTCGATTTCGACCTCACCTGGCAGACAAGCTACGTTTGAACTCCAAATGACGCCGCTCACTGATCTCCTTTGATCTGCACTTTAATCTCCATCCCATCAACCGGCTTCGCAGTAACCTGATGCGTCGAAAACATGGTGCCCTTGGTCTTCACCTTCCCCCCCTCGCCCTCCTCAAACAACACCCCCCCATTCTCATCCCTCTCCACTTCACCCAGCCCCTGCTTGACGAACTCAAAGTGCCGTGCAACGCATGCAATAATAATCTTCGTCTCCAGATTCGCCAGCTCGCTCCCCGTGCACCGCCTCGGCCCGCGCTCATACGGCCGCCACGCACTCTCCGGAATGCTCTTGCCTTCCTCGCCCAGCCAGCGCGAGGGGACGAAGGAGTTGCGCGTCAAGCCGAAGATATTGGGATGTCGCTGGATAATGTATGCGCGTGGTGTCACACACAGTCCGTCGACGCACAGCGTATCTCCATCAGGGAGCGTGAGTGTGGTGTTTGAGTGGCTCGGGGCGACGCGTGCCGTTGTGCCGGGTGGGTGGAGGCGGAGGGTTTCTTTGATCACGGCGTCTGTGAAGTGGAGGCGTGCTAGTAGTTGTCCTGCTTCTGGGCCGCGGAGTTGAGCTATGATGGACGATGGATGCGTGGCAGAACCGAATACGGAGGTCAGTTCGTCTGCGAGAGTTCGAGCAGCGGAGGGATGTGTGTGCAGTTCGTAGAATGCCCACTGCAAGAGGATAGACGTCGTGTCGTGGCCTGCGAAGAGGAAGCCGCGCAGCGTGTCGCTTGTTTGCTGCAAGATCTGGGGTGTCAATCTCTCAATACCATGGAGACTAAGGGTTGCTACACTTCTGCTCTTGCTTTTCGTATTAGCGCCACCGGTAATTAGTGTTTTGTGCTGCTCCTTGATCTCAGCTTTGAGGATGCGGTCGAGCTTCTTGTCCTGATATCGGATCTCGCGCTCGTTGGCGGTGAAGTAGTCGCGCCACCCCACCCCGCCGAAGGGGCGCTTGTTGAAGGCTTGGGACAGGGCACGGTAGGTTAGTAGGACGTCAGATTGTTTTCCATCGATTTGGGCGTTGAGATCCATGTCGAATGTTACGATGCCGATGATGTCGAAGACGAGGTTTGTGGTGTACGAACCGAGGCAGAATGTCTCACCGCTGGTGACTTTCTCTTCCATGAGCTCGATGAACGTTTCCAATTTGTCCAGGATAACGTTCACTAGACTGAGGAGATGATTGGGTTGGAAGCCAGGCCGGATCCTCTTGTACAGAGCATTCCATTCGTCGCCCTGATTGCGCGATGTTCATCAGCTTCTGCAACTTCAACATCACCAGACACAGTCTAGAGCATAGGATGACTTACATCCGTGGTGACCAGAGACCTTGCGCCAACCAGAGGAGCCAACTGCTGAATGGCAGGATGCTTGGGCATACTGGTCCTAAACACTTTGCTCGGTTTGGTGACCTGCTCGGCGACACCATTGTCCAAAATGAACAGAATGGGGAACTTCTCAATTGGGCGCCAGTCGACAAGGAGCACCGGAGGGAAATTCAGCCTCTCAGCCTGCTCATACAACATCTCGTCGAAAGCGCGCCGAGGATCGCCCGCCGCAGCGGCTTTCTCAATCCATGGCCAGTGACCACGCACGGGGTCTGCTGGCTCTGGCTGTGGGAAGTGCGAGTATTGCTTGAGATCGAGAGGCTTGGATTTTGTTTTCCGCAGGTAGTAGGCTACGGCGAGCAGGATCGCAGCGAAAGCAAGTGGTTTCCATCGGGAAAGTGCGCCGAGCTTCTCAACATTCATAGACGTGACCAAGTCGTACAGTGCCATCTTTACGGCCAGAAGAGCGTTGCACCAGCTCGAACAGTTGCCAGGAATTTGGGGAACCTTTCCCTCATGTATCGTGCGTCAAGCATTTTGGACAAGCCACCGCTTTTATTAAAATGCGCCATTGTGTCATCTGGGCCTTTGACCTATTGCGTATGCCGTGACGACGGTGAAGTGGTTTCGGAGTGCTGTCGGACATGGTCGCAGCATCAATGTAGTAGGTGATCATCGGATAAGATGCATCAGATTAGATTAGATGGGTCTGATTCGATAGCGGCTTCGTACACCCTGCAAGTCAAGCAAAACTCTGCAGCTTGGCATCGCGGAGTGCAAGCCGTGTTGAGCTAGCAACAGGTTGTTGCTGGTGCTTTGCAAAAGATCGTGACCTGCTGTGGAGCTCGATGTGGTGATATTGGTTGAGGAGGGAAGGTTGAGGGCGGCAGCGGCTCGAGATGTGGGCTTCCTCACGTGCCAGACCCTGAATCACCGAGCTGCATACTCCATTGGGTAGTCGCTCGGCGAAGTTCAGAGTGTCCAGTGTTGGAAGATTTGACAAATAAAATTTGGACACTTATGCTCGCCTTGCAACGAATGGTGCGTCAATAAGAGTGAAGACATCGCAATTCATCATTTGGTCAAGCATGCTCAATTTGAAGACTACTTATTGAAGACTACTTATTGAAGACTACTTATTCGTTGCGGTCGAGGTTATGAGCTGTCTTTGCAAGTATTCAAGGAATGAGCAGATGACATGAGCATGCAAGCGGAGAACGACTGTATCATGTTGATCGCTCGAACATGTTATTGTTTTCATACATTAAGCCTACAATTAACGCAAACGCTTACTGGAAACGCTTCTCGGCTGCCTTCCAATTGATGACGTTCCAGATGGCCTTGAAGTACTCCGCCTTACGGTTCTGGTAGTCAAGGTAGTATGCGTGCTCCCACGCATCGACGCCCAGAATAGGTCTGAATTGTCCAACAACGGGGTCCTGGTTGGCGTATGTCTTGATCTGGATGCTGCCGGTCTGTGTGTCCTGCACCAGCCACGCCCATCCAGAGCCCTGGATACCTGCCAAAGCGGTGTTGAACTTCTCCTTGAATTGGTCCAACGAGCCGTAGGAGTCGTTGATGGCGCCGGCCAGCGCGCCGGAGGGGGGCTCACCACCACCCTGCGAGGTTGGGGCGAGGTTCTCCCAGAACAGGGTGTGGTTGATGTGACCGCCACCGTGGAAGTTGATCAAAGGTTGCAGAGCGATCTGAGCCTTGATGTCGTTCTTGGCCTTGGCTTCGGCAATCTGCTCGCTGAAGTTGTTGTAGGAAGTCACGTAGGTGTTGTGGTGGTTCTTGTGGTGAAGCTCCATGATCTTGCCGGAGATGGAGGGTTCGAGGGCGCCGTAGTCGTCTAAATGCATTTATTAGTGAAGGCCCGTTGAGCTGAGTTAAGGACAAGACGCACAGGTAAGGTCAGGCAGAGTAGCCTTTCCACGCACGAAGGTGGTTGCAACGCCAGCGCGAGCAGAGCTCTTAGTGGCAGCGCGGAGCGCAGAGCGCGCGGCGGTAGTGCGGAGGATGGTCGAGTTCATGATTGCTACAATTGATGTGTTGATGATCAATTGGATGTGTCGAGGTTGTTATGCCGGAGAATCTGGTTGTCCAGGTCGGTTGCTCAGTTAATCAAGACTCTGTCGTCATTTCCTCTGCCCGAGCTCCGAAAGTCCAAGCTCCCTCTTCGCGCTTCGGCAGGAGTGACCCGCCAGCCAATGATAGGTCGAACAAGTCAGCTTCCCCAGAAAAAACATCGCGATGATGCAGTGTTACGCAGCAGAGACACTCGAGAAGATGCAGCATGTGATTAGAACCACATATGCTCGATCAGCCCTGGCCTCGATTGTCAGGAGAGCAGTCGTGATGGGTGAGACGCGCTCCACGATTTGTCCCGCACGACGGCCGTGTTCGGAGGCTGTCCATACGGTCGATATCTGGGCAGCAGTTTCTGACAGCTCGCGTGGAATCCCAGACATGTTGACGTTTACGTATCTGGGTATCTGCAGATCAACTTCTCACGCGATGGGCTGGTGATCGCAATCTACTCCGCATCGTCGAAGCCATAAATCTTCTGGTTGTGGGCGCGTTCCCTTCTTCTTCTGCGCAGCGCAAGTTACCCCACCAACGTTATCACCATGGCTCCAGCAAATATCGTCCACCTGCCCAATGGCCAAAACCTGACTGTCTCGCCAGTGTTTGGTGGGCTCTTCTTCAAAACCAACGACTTACTTAGTTCTCATTCGCCATTCCCTCCAGGCTGGACAGTCGTACTGAACTCAGAGGACGAGATCGACCCCGCACAGGCAGAGCAAGATGAGAAGACTGAGAAGACCGGACTGCCTCGACATGTACACCGGTACAAGCGACCCAACCTGACTGGTGATCACCTCTACATCTCCTCGGTATCGAATCCCAGCAGCAACGAGTTTAAGGCTGCCGCTTCGCCAACGCGCCATATCGCCATGATGCTCTGGGCGACCTTGTACTGGTACTTCCACCAACCCGAACCTACGCTTCAGGTCACAAATGCGCTATCGAAGAACACTGCAGATGCAGGAAAGCCCAAGGGCGAGTGGAGGATCAACATCAACCGCGAGGGCATCTTCAAGGGCAAGGTCGTGCTGCCAAAGCTCGAACGCATGGGGCTGGTCGCCAGCGAGGACTCGGCAGTGGGATGCGCACAGGAAGAATCAGCGCACGAAGGCTGGACGCAGATGTTCGTGAGTCGGAGGGTTTTCTGGCAGCTGGATCCCCGTATCTACCTGTTCACGCTCTCGCCCATGGCCAACTCACCCTTCCCGTCTGGCTCCCCGTACCCTTCGAGGCCATCGTCGCCAGTTGGCAAGGGCGAAGAAAAGAAAGAGCATCAGCTCGATCAGACATCACCGGGCCTATGGTCGCCCACGGCACCAGGCCCGTTCCACTCCAGCTCGCACCTGCCAACCTACTACCCTCCGCCGCCGACCCAATACGTTATCTCGAACCACGTCCGACATCCTATCCGCCCTAAGCCTCCTCGACAAGGCGAAGTGCTGTACACGCGCTACATCCCCAGCGTCGGCCAATACCTCTCCTTCCGAGTCGCATCGATCTCCTCGAAGCCGCTCCGACACCGCGGCCCTATATCGTCTCACGAAAATGCTTCCTATCGTCTCAGCGGCCAGTCACAAGCCGACTCGACCGTGTCCACAATGAACTCACTCAACGTCGACATGTCCGACTCCGAGTACCTACACAAGTGGATGAACGACCCGCGAGTGTCGCACTTCTGGGGCGAAGCTGGTCCACAGGAACACCAGGAGGAGTTTTTGAGGAACGGTCTGAGATCGAAAAACTCGTTCCCAGTCATAGGCTGCTGGGATGGCAAGCCGTTTGGGTACTTTGAAATATACTGGGTCAAGGAGGACAATTTGGGCAAGTACGTGCCAAACGTGAGCGACTACGACCGAGGCTTTCACTGCCTGGTCGGCGAGCAGGAGTTCAGAGGTGCGCACAGAGTCAAGCTGTGGATCAGCGCACTCGTGCACTACTGCTGGTTGGCGGACAACCGAACCGAGAGAGTAATGCTCGAGCCACGAGTAGACAACGAGAAGTAAGTTGAGAAACTTGAAGATACCAGCAATAGACTGACAGCAACAGATTGGCACACTACCTCCAAGAATCTGGTTTCTATAAAGAGCGCGAGGTCAGCCTGCCGCACAAGCAGAGCAACCTTTTCAAGATCAACAGGGATGTCTGGAAAGGGCCGGCGTTGTAAGCACATGCTTGGGGCTCCGTGCTGGAGACTCGGAGACTCGATGTGGAGATGGCACAGGTCGAACGCGGCCGCGGGATGTTGGGCGTTCACGCAGTTTTTGTGGAGGAAAAGCGGGTCTCGAGATACCACAAGTTCTGGCCTCCAGACTATGTCACATAGCTGCAGGCTAATGTTGCAAGCATTGCTCTCTTTGGCAGTAAATTAGTTGTTGGTTTTACGCGTGCTGTAGAAAACGCGCCAGACATCCCACGGAGCCTTACCGAAGTCGGCGCGATGCGGTTAGACGGAGTGCGCATCGTGGGATTTGCGTAGTTAGGCACCCCAAACGGTCAACTTGAGACGCGTTCTCGAATCGCAGATATCAGAGATCATGCGTCCGGAAGAATATTGACCGAGTGCATGAATAGCATCGTGTTGATCTTGAAATCTTCGAGATACATTCATGGTGGGGTCACCCCGCCAAACCAGAAGTCAAACTTCACAACGACCAACAGAAAGGTACACGCGGAGAAATTTTTGCGGTCCAACATTGAGGCTTAATGATCGGCAAGCAATTGACAACCAAAAATCGGTTGTCGAAACGCTCTCTGGCGCGCCGATTTGTGGCGTAAACAAAAATGTGGGGTCTTGGCCACAAAATTATCGGAGTCCTGTGACGCAAGATGTTGGTTCGGGTAGAAAAGGAACTGAACGACTCAGTCAACAACAACTCAAGCTCGTGATACCCTGATCCTTTACTTCACTTTGACTCAATTGCTACAAGAGGCAAGTAGTAATTGCAAAGCTCACATTTGATCACTGTCAGCACCGAGTGATCGCCTAGAATGTCTGTCCCTTCAATCCCCTCCACAGAGCCTAAGCTCGCATACGACCAAGACGCAGCCCTGGACCTCCAGCGTCAAATCAGCAACATGAAGCAGCAAATCGGCAACTCCATCTTCGACACCTACCAGACATCTTTGACGGGGCGCTACTGCTCCAAGGAGATGTCGCAACTTTTCAGCCAGCGCAGCCGTCACAGCACGTGGAGGTCGCTATGGCTGTACCTTGCTGAGTCAGAGAAAGAACTTGGAATCGAGAACATCACCGACGAGGCTCTGCAGCAGATGCGCGATCATCTCGTTGTTTCTGACGCCGATTTCGAGGTCGCTAGGGTTGAGGAGAAGAGGAGGAGGCACGATGTCATGGCCCACGTACACGCTTTCGGCGAGGTTGCGCCGAAGGCTGCGGGTATCATTCACTACGGCGTAAGAAGTCTAATCGATTCTGAAAGTCTGGATGCTAACATAATTGACAGGCGACCAGCTGTTACGTGACTGACAACGCAGAGCTCATCCTGATGCGTGATGCCATGAGCCTGCTTCTCCCCAAGCTCGCCAAGGTCATCGACAATCTCTCCAAGTTCGCCCTGCAGTGGAAGTCCGAGCCAACTCTTGCTTACACTCACTTGCAGCCCGCCCAGCTGATCACCGTCGGTAAGCGTGCAGCCCAGTGGGCCCAGGACCTCCTCATGGACCTCGAGGCCATCGAGCACGTCAAAGAAGGCCTCCAATTCCGCGGCGCCCAAGGCACAACCGGAACTCAAGCCTCCTTCCTCGAAATCTTCAACAATGACTCCGCGAAGTGTGACCAGCTGAATGAGAAACTCTGCCAAAAGGCCGGCTTCAAGAGCTGCTACGCCGTCTCCACACAAACCTACACCCGCAAAGTTGACCAGCTCATCGCCAACGCCATCGCTGGGCTCGGTTCCTCTGCGCAGAAAATCACCGGCGACATCCGCCACCTGGCTGCGTGGAAGGAACTCGAAGAACCATTCGAGAAAGACCAGATCGGCTCGTCCGCAATGGCGTACAAGCGCAACCCCATGCGCTCGGAGCGCGTCTACGCCTTGTCCCGCGAGTTGATGTCCAAGCCTGCTTCGTTCGCCAACACGCTGTCTGACCAGTGGATGGAACGCACGCTCGACGATTCGGCGATCCGCCGCATCGATATCCCGGAGATGTTCTTGTTGGCTGATGCCATCCTGCTTTCTCTCGACAACGTTACCTCGGGACTGGTTGTGTACCCTAAGCGTGTCAATGCGCGCGTACAGGAGGAACTGCCCTTCATGATTACAGAGAGCATCATTATGAAGCTTGTTGCTAAGGGCGGTAGCCGTCAGGAAGCGCACGAGGAGATCCGTGTTCTTTCTCACCAGGCTGGTTACAATGTCAAGAACGAGGGTGGGCAGAACGATCTCGTTGATAGAATTCGCCAGACTAAGTTCTTTGAACCGATCTGGGGCGATTTGGATAACATGCTCGACGCGAGTTTGTACACTGGACGCAGTGCTGAGATCGTTGATAAGTTCTGCGGTCAGGGCGGTGTGCTTGAGAAGGCGCTGCAGCCGTACAGGGAGTACATCAACAAGGCTGGTGTTGCCGAGCTCAGCGTATAGTTGACGTTGGGTAGGAGCTGTGTTGGGAGGTTGTGAGTCGCTGTAGCCATAGTTTGCCGACTACAGTGCGCCACGGTAGATGTAGACAAAAGTAATGACGATTCTCCATCATTCGGCACACGTGGTTCAGCACTCTTCGTACCTTCCACTCCATATGACTTACCCCAACACTAGCGAGGCCACTACGATGTCTCTGTTTAGAATTATACAGTAAACCCTGGAGGTCCTCAGACCCTTGACATGACTCGCTCCTTTCCAACTATGGTTTACAAAATCCCGCTTCACTCACTGGCTCCTTATTTAGTGGTTCAGGAGGCCCTCGAGTCGTGGTTGACTCTCCTGAAATATTCCACCACAATCAATAGTAAATTCACACCAACATGGATTTCTGCACACTCGTCTTCGATCTCAAGCAATTCATCCACTCAAGTCTCATAAAACTACCCATAGTTCACCGCACACAATGCCTCTCCTAAGGAGATCCACTCGCACCAGAAAGCCCCCCGGCCCACGCCTAAAGCCAAGACCCCTGCCAAAACTCCCGTCAGAGGAACTACCCGAAGAATGGCCTCCAAAAGAATTAAAACTTCCAAAACTCCAACCCAAGCCCTCAGCACTACCATGCTTCTCCTTCACGCGCAGCTCAAGCACAAGCAGCTCATCCACCATCTCCGCCCCAAGCAGTCCACCTCCCTCCATGCGTACCTATGGCAGCAATGTGGAGCGCGGTCTCGTGCATGAATTCTCACTGAGTGCGATCAGACCTGCATGCGATCCCGAACCTGATTGGGTCGAGCTGCAGATGGCGAGGTTGAAGAAGGAGAGACGGCGGAATGTGAAGATGTTACCAGCCATTATTTTGGTGCTAGAGGAGTGGATTAAGAGGAATAGAGGGAGAAAGGAGAAAGACAGTTTGATTGGACTTGCGTGGGTGATGAGGGAGAGGATTAGGAAGGAGGCGAGGAGGATAGAAGCTAAGAGGAGGAGGTTGGAGAGTTTGTGAAGGCGTGGAAGGGGTAAATAGGATGGAGATGAGGAGACGGGCAACGAATAGGAAGGGGAAGGGGCGATGGGTTGTAGTCTTTTATGTGGAATCTACCCCACTGTGATAGTTTGTGTCACTATTTTAATTTTAGACCTCGGTCGCAGTGTGAGGACCCGGGGTTTTGCATCTTTGCAACAATCGAAAATATAATAGTTCCATAATTCACTGCTCGTCGGAGCATGATGGTATCCTGAATCCTCCAGGGCGCTTGTTACGTAGCAGTTCCCAACAGGCCTGTTGACTCAGTTTTGAACCCCCTTGAAGTTCACCTAGGTAAAACCAGAACCACCAGTCTTATAATCCCACAGAATGTGAAGTCACTTAACGCTAACGTGAATGTCAGATTGGGGTCTACAACACATCAGCCATGCTCCGCTGTGCCAAAACGCGTCGAAACACAATTTTCGAAACAGTTTACATACATTGCCTTTTCGTCTGGTGATCGTCGAAGTCTGGTCTTTATTTTCCGGGAGGCTCGGAGGTATCCGACGATCTAGCCTTTCGAGTGCACCATCTGATACAGAATTCTAGCTGCCTGATACACCTCGTCGTCTTCAAACACCTCACCCTCCTCACTGCTCGCACCTTCTGACATAGTCCTGGAAGAAGTCGGACTACTCGGCGCGCTGAGGGTGCCTTCACTGCTGGCCGCCTCTTGTTCGAGGTATAGTATTGCTTCGGTCTCTAGGGCTTTAAGTGGCTTAAACTTGATGTATGGATTTGAACGTGGAGGCTTTGTAACCTCTGACAGCCCTGCTTCGGGCTTTTGCAGGTCGATCTTGAGGCGTGGACCAGAGGGCTTTTTTGTGCGGGTGGTCCGGGTTGCTGGCTTCATTGTGACGTGTCGTCAAGGTTGAGCAGAGCGTAGAGGAAGACGATGTATTTGAAGTGTTGTTAAAATTGGAAGTTGAGTTGAGAATTGGTGCCGTACAATGTAGTGGCGGAGGAGGATATTCACTATGAGTTATACATAGCATATACATATTTCAGGAGTAGAGATGGTACCGAAAGGGTCAACCACGGATCGAGAATTTGCGAAGCGACCTGCTACTGCCGGTCAGTGAACGGTGACTTGCATTATTCCGGGGGCTTCATAGTATTGAGTGAAATGTTGGGTTTGTGGACCTCCAGGGCCTTGCAACATTTCCTAAGATTGCAAATATTGGAGTCCCAAGTAAGCTTCACTTTGAGCATGATGAGTCCTAAAGTCCTCCAGAAGCTTTCATGATAGCGGTGCACGTCAGATTTCCATGCCTTACAGTCGTGCAGCGCACGGTTTGTACCAGAGCTAATCGGTTAGAGGCGGTCCCAAGATTGAATCTCGAAGTCGATACCCAATTGTAGTCTCTAGCACGCCTGGTGACTCCCAGTTCTGCGCAATGTAAGAATCTGTAGCCTTCGTGCTCGGTAGCGAAGACCACACTTGCATTGTGATATATTCCTGATTAGGGGCCTTTGCTATATGGTACGATAAATTCGGTTGCACATTCCCCAACTCTGGTTCATGGTGTGTCCAAACCACTCAAGTTTTTGGCGGTATTACATCTGACTGCAGTTGAATTTCGAGAGGCTGCCCACTTCTCTCTTGATCTACCTTCATACAATCTCTGCAGTTTGCTCAAGTTCAGAGCTCGCACATTTATTAGCAAACGCTCTTCGCCATAATCAACAATGCCATTTTCACCCCGTATTTGAGATAGCTTTCTTCTGTCTTCGAGCAGATATTGGCCATCACAATGATCCCACCGAAGTGCAAGCAAAAAAAAAACTGGCACCTTGCTGCTAGACTTTACCGAATCACAGATCTCGCCCACCTAGGCCGTGTGCCTAGCAAACATCATCGCGAAGCAAAAAGGCTGCTGGTGCGACCTTCGAACCCCATACCGCAGGCACAAACCTTATATCGGAGAAGCAGCAGGCACAGACAGCAACGCCTTTTCGCGCAAAGGCAGTTCTGCAACAGCCAGTTATTTGTGGAGAGGATTCAAAATTGCCGGATGGACTCTGCATAAGAAGAACTCTGACCGTGGCATTCCTGGTCCAGGCGAAGGCACTTTGGAAAGACGCCCATTCCCACCTGAAGAGAGGATGTACTTCCCAAACATCATGAGAGAAGACAAGGCACAGAAAAAATGGCTTGAAATGAAGTGGGACAGGATATCAGCTATTAATGTCATGCAGATCGGTCAGGAAGAGCATAACAAGCGAAGATGAAGAAAGAGCAGAACGAGAGGAGACATGAAAGAGTCATGAAGAGCATCGAAAGAATCGCTAGGAAACGCGAAGTAATGCGGATGGCGGAAGAAGTCTAGAGGAAGATGGAACAAATCCAGGTCGAACAGGAGGTTGATCTTGTGATCCCAAGCAGGATGAGGGTGATGGAAGCGGCGATGTGTTGAGATGACGGAGGGTGCGGATGGCTTCCTTAGTCAGCATCGTTGTGAAGGAAAGTACGTGCGAACGCGTTGTGGCCAACGATCGCATCGAAACCACGGCGATTTCGTCTTCAAACGAACACGTAGTCGACAAATCGCTTCATCACCGATCTCTTCGCTTTGAGATGCGATGTTTTCCCGCCGCTCCGGCTGTCATCAGCCCGACTTGTGGAGCGGAAGAATTCCCGGTTAAAGAGACCCGCAACTACATTCAAGAGTTCATCCTCCACTGCACCCTCGACTGATTTCACTTCAGCAGCAATACGGCCGTTCTGAGCCCCACAAACATGCTTGGCTTCTGGTCTACCGTGCCGGCGGTTAAACAGGGCAGCTATTCCGTCATGCGGGCAATGACCCTCCACATAAGTATGCGCGAGGCCTACGTGTAGAAGAACATACGCGATAGCTCTTCATTGACACACATACTAAATCGCTGAATCGTTGCGACCATGGCCGACAAAGAACCCATCGTGACACACGTCTACACCGCCGACCCCTCGGCACATGTCTTCAACGGGAAGCTTTACATTTACCCCTCGCATGACCGCGAGACAGATATCAAGGACAACGACAATGGCGACCAATACGACATGGCCGACTATCACGTCTTCAGCATGGATACCGTCGGCGGACCTGTAACAGACCACGGCGTAGTGCTCAAGCAAGAAGACGTCCCCTGGGTCTCGAAACAACTTTGGGCGCCCGATGCAGCAACCAAGAACGGGAAATACTACCTCTATTTCCCTGCGCGAGACAAGGAGGGTATCTTCCGCGTCGGCGTAGCAATCGGCGACAAGCCCGAAGGTCCTTTCACACCAGAACCCGACTACATCAAAGACAGCTTCAGCATTGACCCCGCAACCTTCGTCGACGACGACGGCTCAGCATACCTCTTCTTCGGCGGCATCTGGGGCGGACAATTGCAATGCTGGGCCACAGGCAAATTTGACAAGTCAGGCGAGGAACCAACGACCGGCGACGCGCTTCACGCCAAGGTCGGCAAGCTTACAGAAGACATGACACAATTCGCCTCTCCGGTCACCGACGTCCTGATCCTCGACCCTGACACACAAAAGCCCATTCAGGCCGCCGACCATGACAGGCGGTTCTTCGAGGCCGCCTGGCTGCACAAGTACAACGGTAAGTACTACTTCAGCTACAGCACGGGTGACACGCATTTCCTTTGCTATGCGATTGGCGACAGTCCCGTCGGTCCATTCACGTATGCGGGCAGGATTCTGGAGCCGGTGATCGGATGGACGACGCATCACAGTATCGCGGAGTTCAAGGGGAAGTGGTATCTGTTCTACCACGACTCTACGCTTAGTGGGGGCAGGAACCACTTGAGATGTGTGAAAATTAGAGAAATTGTGTACGATGAGCAAGGCAGGATTGGACTGGCGGAGCCGCAGCCGAAGGTCTCAGATGAGGACGCACCGCCGGCGAAGCTTGAGGCGTGAACGTCACATTGAAGGAAATCAACAAGTTTAAAGTATGAAGGAAATCGGTGCGATGTTTGAGTGGTCGAGTCGAATGTGTGTTGCCGTGATGCCAATTGAACTTCTAGAATTCACGTACTGGTATTTGTCGACTCGTGCACTACTCAAGGAGACATGGTACAGAATCAATGATCATGAATCTGTAAAAATCAGTCAAACCTTGTGTTATTCGACTGCATTCTAACAAAACCTCCCATCATGGTAACCCGTACCCACCAACGCAACATTTCATCCTCATCCCTTTAGAACCCGGCGATATACCGATGCTGATCCGTAATCCCCGTAACCTCCATCGTCATGCCCACCCTGATCTCCCCCGTCTCGCGCGGCACACACAACATCCCATAACAAGGCTTATACGTGATCCCCTCATCGATCCTGCGATACTTCATCAGCGTGTCCCACGGCTGCCTTTTGTGCTCCTCCGCCGTCTCCGGGTCCACATTCGGCACGTGGCATCTCGCACAGCGCTGCGTAACATCAAGATTCGTGACTGTTTTGCCGGAGGAGGTGATCCGCAGTGTCTTCCAGCGGTCTTCATCCCAGGGCGCAGAGGCTTGGCCGCGGACTAGGATGTTGGGGCGGAAGCGCGTGACGTCGAGGGTTAGGTCGCCGTTCTCTGCGGCTTTGATGCGCGAGTTTAGTTCGTCGATGCTGGACTGGTTGCCCACGAGGAGCGGCATCAGGTCCGGGAAGCATGTCGATGCTTCTCTGCCCAGGACATCTGCTGCGCCATTCGAGCGCAGAGGACGCGGTTCAGTGGACTTGGGCGGCTTGTACACAAGGCGGACTTCTTTGCCGAAGAACTCGTTGAAGGGCGCGGTGAGCTTTGTTGAATAGACTTGTGCGGACGTCCACTGGTTCCAGATCTTTGCTTCGTGGCACTCGGTGTTGGATGCGAGCCAGTCTGCGGTTGGGTGCGCGGGGATGCTGAATTCGAGTTTCTCGTCGATGGAGTTTGGTGCGGGCGCCGTGACAGTCAGAGTGTCAGATTTGGCATCGTAGGTTGGGCGGATGAGCGTCATTTTGGCGTTTTGGCGGATGGTGAGGAATTCGTAGTTTTCGGCTGTTACCCACATCCATTGGCGATCTGTACACGTAGTCAGGTACCAGAGCGACAGACAGATCAATCAATTGACGTACCGAGGTCAAGCCCAGTAGGGAGCAGTTTTGCCGATTGTACTTTGATGCCGTGACACGACTTGATGGGATGGATGTACAGCGCGGTGATCTCGGTTGGTAGAGGAAGTGGTCCCGCATTGCTCTTCTTTGATTGTGCTCTTGTGAAGTACAGATAGGTCAAAATAGGTAAGAAGAAAGCGGAGAGGATGATAGCTAATTGCGTGGCTTGCGACTGTGCCATGCTTACGGTGGCCTCCGGCAGGGGTATTAGAGGTGTTGTGAGCGTTGTAAGGTGAAATCTGCGATTCACGCATCTAGAGTGTAGAGGAATGCAAACAGCCGTAGGCGATACAACGCAAGAAGGACGAGGCCCAGAGCCTCATTAGTATTGCAGTAGTATTTGTATTGCCAAAGATGTCTTGCCTTGCTGACAAGAGCATGCGTGATTCCAGATCACAATGTGGATAGTGCACCTTTCCGGATACACCAGGAATGTGTGACTTTATGTTCGGAGGCGATCTCTGGAAAGATGACGCATGGTCCGGGCGCGGGAAAGCGTAGCGCGATGTCGTGCGCCCTCTGAACCAAACGAGCAGCTCGAGGCGGCAACGGCTCCGCGGGAGCGGTGGGGACAGTGCATAAGATTAGTCAGGCCCTTGTTCTCGATGCGAAAATGTAAGAGATGTTTGTTGTTCATGTGTCAATAATGTTACATTATCCAAGAGACATGCAGAGTACTGTTGACCATCTATAGGCTCCGCCTTCGAACTCCGAGCCATCCTGCCTCATTACGTCAATTGCTCCAGACGTTGCGTAAAATGAGATGGTGAACAATACGGTCCTAGGAGATATGTGGTGCAGACACTACGATAACATAAAGGAACCCTCTTTTGAGCGAACCAAAACATGATGATATGAAAACCGTAAACAACGCTACATTATGGGTATACCTTGCTTCCAAACTCAGAAACGATAGGAAATATGAAGAGTACAGCTCCGTTGTGGTGACGTGTAGCTCGCTCAGCTCGGCGCGGCGCGGTGGTAGGCGAGCCGTCGCTGGTGCGAGGTTCGGGATCACTTTCTCAAGTGAGGTGTGAGTTTGATTGTGGGGGATGTATGTGTGAGGAACAACTCTGACAAGGGCAGAGCAGGCGCTGGAAACCATCAACTCATCCCCAGTTCAGCTCGTTGTTCCAGCTCATGGTGTCCCTGTTACCGCTGTGTTGAGATATGTTGCTTGGCTTTCTTCGCATGATCATTCTCGAGAAACGGTTGCCCTGTGACTCATCCTTAGGGGGAGGTGCAGGTGGCTGCTGCTCCGGGTGCATGGCTCGGTGGCTTGAGTTCGATATGTTGACGAGCTTAGGAACATACTTTCGGGATGATGACGGGGTACTGTTGGAATGTTGCATGAAGTTGGGCGGAACACTCTGCCTCTGTTGATTTTGCTGTTGAGGGTAGTGCGCGAAGTTGGCATACTGCGAGGTCGGTACGGATACAACTTCCTTCGGCTGCGTATAGTTCATGTACGATGTCGGTTGTTGGAAGTTGATGAGGTCAGGGGTCGAAACAAAGTCGGTGTTTGGCCATGTTTGTTGCTGTTGAAAGCTCTGTTGTGGAATGGGCTGTGTGAATGACGCCGACATCGTCGCCATACTCGGGTTGTAGCCCCCATAGGCGCCCATACTTGCATCAGCAGTCAGGTGAGCCTGTGACATGTCGGCGCTGACAGGCCACTGACTCTGTTGGAAGGATTGTTGATGGTGCATGACTTGCGGAGGTTCTACGGGATCTAAGTCCATCATGTGCTGGTCTTGCGGAACGCCATGCGAACTTTGTAGTCTCGAGTCGTTTCCGAAGTCCGAGGTCTCCAGCTTGAACTCAACGATCTCACTGTGAGCAGAGTTGTCGGGCTCAGACACGTCAGGGGTCATCTCAGGTGCAAAATCGACAGCATCCTTTGGTTCGATTTCGGCCAGGTCGTAGGTGTCTTGTACCAACTTCTCGATGTCGAAAGCACTGGTGTGCCACTTTGTCTCCAGTTTGTATCGTAGGCGGTTACACTTCTTCGATTCCCACGACAGCTTTGGCCAGTTCTGTTCGTCTCCGTGGCGCTGCGTCAACAACGTGTTCCATGCGTGCGCAGCATCAGACTGCTTCAGCAGACCAAGGACAACGTTGGTAAAGTTCCACTTCGCTCCTCCCTTCTCTTCGAAGTGCAGCGCGATGTGTTCACACCTTTCTTCCCAGGTGGTTAACAGAGACGCACAGAAGCCGCAACCCCAAGCGTCCTTGTCATGCATAACAATCTCGTACTTCTTAACGCAAGGCGAAGCCTTTCTGCTGGTAGGCTGCCCACTCTCCCTTGGTTGTTTGCAATGCTCACAGCCCTGTTCAAGGTCAGTGTCAAGACATCAAAATGCAGCAAGGTGTTACTTACGTGAAGCTTTGTGTGGTGCTCACGAAAGCGCTTGCCAGCGTGGAAGATCTGCTCGCAATCCGGGCAGCGCCATGTAAGCCTCTGCTCATGGAACTCCTCCTCGTGTGACTTCCAGTACGGCTTCGACTTGAGAGCCTTGTCGCAGAACGTGCAAGCGAAGTTCTTTGGTGCTGGTGTCGACGCGGTGGAGAGAGTGGAAAGGCGAGAGGATGCTGTAGACATGCGCGAGGAGGCGGCGCTGTAGTGAGTGAACGATGAGTCGGTCGAGGCAATCGATGAGCGAGGGTCTGACATCATGCTCGGTACTCTGCTGGAAGGTACACTCAGGTAAGATGATGCGCGGCTGGCTAGAGTCGACGTCGACATCATTGACGATCTGTCAGGCACTGGTCGCATGCCATCTGTGTACGGGTGAGCGGACGCAAAGCCAGGAATGTGTTGACACGAACCTCCATTACGCGCAGCCTGCAGCAACAGCAGGATCTGTTGGTCGTCCAGGTGTTTCAAGCCATGAATGTGATCGATGACGGTAGTGTTGAGCGAGCCATGGGCAGAGATCCGAGGTGACGATGTCGCGCTTTCCGACACGCTACTCAACGGCATGGAGCTTTGAAGACTGCGGCGCGGACGCTTGAAGGAATTGCTGGACTGAGGTGTGCCATACTGGTAGAGTTGAGGGTCTTCGTTCTCCATGTTATCCAGATTCGCGCGTAGAGGCTTATATCATGCCCGAATCTGGTACTGGCGAGCCGTCGCAAGGTCGGTGTGTTGATGTCGCAGCGAAAGGGGGACAGGCGTACGCGAAATGGAAGCGTTCGAGAAGGTGCGGCGCTTTTGTTAGAATGGTTGGACAGGGACGAACTCGGAACTTAGGCCGTCAGGAAGACATTGATCGTCTAATCTCCTGGGCGGAGGAGGCGGATGGCTCTTGTTTAGAGGAGAGATCGTTTCAACGAACCCTGGAGGGTCCGGATGAAACCACTTGGCGCTGCAGGCATGCAGTCATCAATCGCACGCAGGGTTTCGTAAATATAGTACGCGGATCTCTACAGTAAGCTTGTACCGCTCTGATGAACGCTTCAGATGCTCGAGAACCTCAATTTTTCTGCCACGAACGCTCCAGGCCCATCATGCGCAACGGTGAACGCGAGCAATGTACCTGAGCGATCGCCAGGACTGCTGCGGTAGCGCCGCTGGACTCCGTTTCTTCAAATCCTACCCCTGAGCGAGCATTGTGAAACGGCACTAAACTCGGAAGAGACGTTCTGTTCTTGTCGCCCATCGTGTTGGGCGACTGGAATCATCGTACCACGCTCTCAGCTTCCTCACAGCCTTGCGGATTGCGGGTCAACTTGCTTGCTGTTGCGATGAATTCTGGAGCCTTGCATCGTTTTCGCGAACTAAGGGCGCGCGGTTTACCCCACGAATGTGGCGCAACAGCGTTGCGCAAGTCGGTAATTGGCCAGAAACTGGTCTCAGGACGCGTGCCCGTGGTTGAAGATGCACCTCAGATGAGGCTCAGACCTACATGGCAGGATGCGTTGGAACCTGGGGTTGTAGCAGAGGTTACTGGAGGCACACCAGAAGTCTCCAACAGCATGTTCCTTCCATCGTGCAAGTGAACAGACGATCATCATCAAATGCCGTACCTGACATGAGGAGATCTCACGATGTGTTGTCAAGTTAGCAGGCCGGCCCCTGCCCACAATCATCAACTGTCGTCATACTTGAGGTGCAAGACGGATGTGTGTCTGCACTCCACATGAAATCACCGGAAGTTGTTGAGGATCTGCTTCCGGTCCCGCTTTCCTGCACTATCGATAGAACTTCAGCAGGGCGTTCTTGGCAGCGGCCCTTGACCTGGGCTTCTGTATGTTCTGAGATAGATTGTTGAGCGGGTGCTATTTCAAGAACACCATAGGAGACTGTATCAGCCAAATAGGGCCACGTCTTTCGAGGCCAGAAGTCGTTGCCAGACCAGGAATTAGAGGCTGAAAACCTGAAACATCGTTCACTGAAGCGAGCGAGCAAATAGCCGTGTCAGCATCCAGGACCGAGGGACCCAGAGATTCCATGCCCGGACCACGTTCAGTCGTACGAACGATATTTGCAAGATCGTACAGCCTGTTTGAGAATACACAGTATGATGCTGCGTAGATAAATTTCTCGATACGAGTGCCGTACACGTGGAAGAATGAGAAGGTTTGACGTAGTTCGATAGATTAAAGTTCCTGCACCAGGTAAGTGTTTTCGATGCAAAGCAACTGAACTCAAAAATGCTGACGCCCTCAATGGCATTAGACCCAGCACTGCCTCACAGCCCTGGAGTTTGTGGGTATGAGATTGTCCGGTGGTCGGGTGAATGTCTCTTTCAGCTTGGAGAGTACGTGGGAGAGTACGTGGGAGAGTCATTGAGTCCGCGGAGGGTAAATTAGCAGAGATACTTGACATTGTTGACAGCTGCAAGTCCCCACAAGCCTTCGTCGTACGTGGTAGATACGCAATAGTTGTATGTCGATCAGACTAAGTATGAAGAGAATGCGACTGGAAGAACATGATGGGTGATGGGAGTATGGTCATTATCTTGAGAATGCGTGTCCAAGACCTGAGATGCGCCAGCAATGGACACGAAGAGTTAATCGACCATGATAGTTGACCATTTTCGCCTGAGGCAGCGCCTGAAGAGTTGAAAGACTTTGAACGAGTACTCAGGACGAGCTGATCAAAGCACATGCGCTTGCTGGGAACCTCGACAAAGCAACACTCTTGCATCCATTCGTGAGATAAGCAGATTAAAAGGCCCAAGAAGACTCGGGATAGGAATCCACCGTGATTCTGAACGCTGTCGATGGTGTTGATGGTGGTAGGGCACGAGCAACAGAACAACAAGGGATATGGCAGGCGCGCTTGACGGAAACAGCCTAGCTCTAATCGCGTCGCGTCCGCGTTCGCGTAGAACCACTTTGATGCTCAAGCTCTACCCGCCACGAACATTTGCACATCAGGCACCTCTCAATTGCTGCTCTGCTCATTATCTTTACCAGTTCTCATTGCATAGCAAAGTTGTATAACCTTTTCGTTAAAGCACACGCCCAATTTAGCAAAGTGTTGCACACACGTACGCGAACAAATTGCGTCAGTCTATCTCAGTTGCATCTACGCATAATACCTCCACGGGACCGACTACAAATTCAATATGTCGACAACATCATTGGGCGCGACTACGGCGCCCTCGAAACCTCGAACCAAGCTATTGGCAGCTCTACGAAAGTCAGATTCGAGCGATTCCTCGGAGAGCAGCGCGGATTCCGCGAGTGATGCTTCAGACATTGAGGATGTATTTTCCACGACCAAACCGTCATACGAATCACGGCCTCAACTCAGAACCCAATCGCCCGAGGCAGAAGAAGAAGTAGACGCAGAGAGCGCGTACCAGCGCATGAAGCAGCGTTTGGCGGCTGAGAAGAAATCACAAACGCAGCAAGCACAGAAAGCGACACCTAAACTTGTCACGGCTATCGGCAGCGATGAGGAAGAGGAGATGCCGGTACGAAAACCTGTTAGGGTGTGCACAACAGCAAAGCAAAAGAGCTCGAGTCCTCGCGCGTCACCAACGCCAAGCGTCCGATCACGCCAGTCGTCTCCTGGACTCTTCGTATCACCAGGCCCATCTCCAGTCAAAAGGCAATCACCAGTTCGACCGTCTGCTGGTTCCGACTCAGATCAATCGTTACAACGCGCGTCTACTACCGACCTGCAAGAACGCGTCAAGCGTATCAGAGCCGAGAGACTGGCAAAGCAGAAGGAGGAGGCGACTCAACTGGCACAGCGGAAGGCGTCTAAGCGCTCATCTGAGCAAGATGCGGGAAGTGACACCGATGGCGAGGTCGATAGGCGGTTGACACAACAGTCTAAGCCCACTAGGAGGGCAGGCAAGAAAGCTTTGGAAGCCATGGCCCGTGACCAGCAACGGATTAGTCGCAACATGCAACTTACTCACCAGTCCAAGACGAAGAAGAGATACACAGCAAAAGACCTGTTCGCCAAGTTTGGATTCAACGCGCCAGACGACGAAATAACTACAGCACCTCCCACCCCAGAACTCGCCACAGGGTTTCTATCGTCAGATGTAGAAGTTCAACCAATGCACGACACGCCACCCACTAGTCCACCACGTCAAGACGATGCCACGGAGAAGGCCACAACTGAATTGGGCAACATAACCCCAAGAGCGGCGGTTGTTGAGGAAGCGGACGACACTACACCCATAACTACAAGATTGGACAAAGGCAAAGGCCGCGCACCAGAGTTCGCACATCTCCCGTCGCGATCTTGGCCGACACAGGCACAACCAGTGACTGTTCAGCGTGCTCAAGTGCAAACTGTCGAGCTCTCAGACAATACCATGGTAGAGCTGTCAGACTCTGACGACGATGCTAAGACGGCGCCGAAGAGCAGGTTTGCAGTCTTTGACCGGATACGCACGAAGGAGCAGGACGGGTCGAAGTCGTTCGTGACCCTTCGTCACCTTGCACATCTCACGTCCCCGAAGAACACACGCAAGGGACCAAAGACCATCAGCCGCAGTGAGATGCACTTCTCTCTTGCTCAGAAAGCTCGCCAGCAGGCACAGAAGGTTCGCGAGGAAAGGATCGAAGAGCTCAAGCGACGCGGTATCCATATCGAGACCGCGGAAGAGCGCGAGAAGAATCAGATGGAGATCGAAGACATGGTGGCCCAATTTGAGAAGCAACGGCAGGAAGATCTCAAACTAGCCAAGCTGGAGAAGAAGGAAGCCAAAGCCAATGGTGAGCCTATCGACGAGCTCCCCTCCAGCGATGAGTCGGACGGTGATTACGTTGGCAGCGGCGAAGAGAACGCGGCGGAGGGCGACGACGAAGACCAGGAAGAGGAGGAAGAGGAGGAAGAGGAGGAAGAGGCTGAACTCGAGCTCTCTGGCTCTGAAGATGAGCCAATGGAAGTTGAGGACGCTGAAGAGGCGGATGCATCCAATGACTTGATCGACGGCGCGGCCGAGGAGGCGGACGCTGAAGTAGAAGACGTGCCCATGCCCCAAGCTGTTGAGTTGGCCGACGACGACGACGATGAGCCTAGTGCGCCTGCGCGCAAACAAACAACAAAGCGAGCTCGTAGAGTTGTCGATGAAGAGGATGGGAGTGACAACGAAGCACCGACCTCTGGATCACCCACCCAGCGAGCAACCCAAGATGATGCAAAGGCCGCCTTCGGATTTGGCAACTCGAACACTGGTCTTGGGCTCACGCAGATGTTCGTTGGCACGATGGCAAACCTGGACGACTCACAAGCTACCTACCAAGAGCCCGAGCAAGACTCTCTGGACTTCTTGCGAAGCTTGCCGGACACCCAACCTGGCGTAAACCTTAGCCAGGCACATGACACTCTGGTACCTAACAGCCAGTTGTTCATGTCGCCTCTCAAGGAGTCACAGGCTGGAGCTGAGTCCCAGTTCAGCTTGGGTATTGGTCAACTTGTTGGACCAAGCCCTTCGCGCACTCAATATTCTGAAGCCCCTGAGCCTACACAAGATGCTGGCTTTTCCTTCTCTCGCTCGCCAGCTGGCTTCATGGCTCCGATTTCGACCGTTGAAACCGTGATGATGTCTGTTGCTGAATCACCGATCAAGAAGCGGGCCGGCAAGCTGCAGCGCGGTCGTCGTGAGGCCGCTGTCGACCTTTCTGACGTTGAAGAAGACCTTGTTGATGCTGTTTCCGACTTGAGTGATGTCGATGACATCCAACGGCCACCAAAGCACAGGGACGCATTCCGCGCCATGCAAAAGGGTGCGAAGAAGCAGAAGGCTATCAACGACTTCAACAAGAAGACTAGTGCCGCTAAGGACGTCGTTGAGGAGCAGGCCGACGAGTCCGAAGACGAATATGCAGGTATCGGTGGTGTCAGTGACGACGACAGCGACGAAGAAGACGAAGACTTAAAGAACATGATCGACCACAACGACGTCAAAGTTGACGAGCGCCAAATCGCAGCCTTCTACGCGTAAGTCCCCTCACTCATGCCATCTACGCACCATTAACATCCTCAGCGACAAATCCAAGAGAGACGACGAGAAGAACATCAACCAACTCTACAAAGACCTCATGAACGGCGGCCTGCGCAAGCGCGCCGGCCGCGACGCCTTCGACCTATCCGACAGCGAAGACGAAGCGGAAATGAAGCAGCGCAAGAAACGTGCCGACTTTGCACGCATGCAGAAAGCGCTCATGAGCGACGAGAATATCGGCAAGATTGCGGAGAACCCGAAGCAGCAGGCTTTTTTCAAGACGCTGGCGGATTTTGCGGATGATGCTGATTATGATTTCCTGGAGATGCCGGAGCCGAAGAGCGTTTTTGCTGAGGACTCGCAGAGTCAGTCTCAGTCCCAGCAACTGCAAGATGAACTTGTAGGAGAAGGAGAGGCCGAAATGGTGGTCCCAGACTCCCAGAACGACTCCATGAACATGCTCCCGTCCAACCCACTGAAGCGTAAATCCCCCTCCTCCTCCCAAAAGGAGAACCGTCCACCACCTCATCTCCGCCGCGCAGACAACGGCCTAGCACGCCGCCCAATCACACTAGCCGACGTGCAGAACTCCGTCTCCGAGCTGCTTGAAGACTCGCGCGTCGTGGTGCCAGATAGCCAGTACGCGTCGGACTCAGACTCGGAGCTTGAGATCGTAGACAAACCAGTGCGCAAAGCTGTCGTCGACCGCCTAACTCTATCTCGCCAATCCACTCTCTCAGAATCGCAGGATAGTGCAGCGGGAATGGCGTTCCACGCCCCATCTCGCGGTCCTGCGGTACCGGGGTTCAGGGTGCCGAGTTTGATAAGACAGGCGACCAGTAATCTGTCTGCGACTTCTGAGCGGAGCGAGAGGACGAGTCAGGGTGGTGAGGGGAGTGTGAGGAGGGGCGGCACGGGCAGGAGTAATATCCATGCCCAGGCGCGAGAGGCGGAGAGGAGGGCGTTGCTGGAGAAGAAGGAGATGAGGAGGAAGGAGGTGTTGAGGAAGAAGGTTGATAAGGGGAGGAAGGGGGGGATGAGGAGTGTGTTGGGGGACTTGAGTGGGGGGTTTGAATAGGAATATTTTATGGATAGGCGTAAGGGTAGCGAGGCGTTCCAGGAGATCGGAATTGAATATCTACAGTACACAACAACCATTCTTCATCTTCCAGCCCGTCTCACGGTATGATACGGTATGATACTGTACAACGCTTTTCCCGACACAGCGTGTCTATACCCGCTCAGAAACCCAAATCGCCCCGCGACACCCTGCTCTTATCCCCTCCGTAAGCAGCTCATACGGCCGCGCCTCCTTGGCATCATTCTCGACCGCATGATCCAAATGCTCCAACTCCTCATCCCTAATCGTCCTCAACTGCCCCACCAGTGCCTCCAACTCCGGCCCCAGACTCTCCCCCCGCTCCCCACACTTCTGCGCCCAATCAAGCAAAACCCGGACTTGCTCGTTGTAGTGCGTACCGATCTCCGTCTCCACGGCTTCCGTGCACGCCATCGCCGCCTCTCTCCCGAGTACCGCTGTGCTCCAGCCTAGAAAGCTTGCGGCGGCGGTCCAGAGCGGTGTCATAGCCGTTGGTCTAATCCTGTGCTTGGAAATGACTTCGTTGAAGAACTTGTAGTGCCCGGCTTCTTGGTCGTACATGTGCTTCATCAGCGGGCGGAGGTGCGGGTGTGAGCGTGTTAGGATCGGGGACTGTGCAGAGTAGATTAGGATTGCGGCCAGCTCGCCGGTTTGGTTCACGCGGAGCGCCGAGGAGAGGAAGGCGCGCTGTTGTTCGGAAAGTTGGTGGATAGGCTTCTTGGTAGTGGGGTCGGTTGGTGTGGATGAGGAGGTGGTTGACGAGTTTGATATTGGGACTGTTGCGGCGTTTGTTGGGGGGTTGAGGCCTGAGGCTGCTGCGGAGTCTGGTGTGGGCGGTGATGGTGTGGTGCTTTGGTGTCGCCGCCGCTGGCGTGATATCGATGATGTGCATGATGTGAGGGTTCGAGGCGCGAGGAAGTCGAGTATTGGTGCATGGCTGCGGGCCAATGCATTTGGTGAGAGAAGTTTGGCGGACATGCTGTGCGGTTTTTGTTCTGTTGTTGCCTTGGCACAATAGCAGAGTGAATGACAAGGTGAAGTCAAGTCAAGTGAAAGCAATAGCTCGCGATGATGCGCTCCCAGCGCTAGTGGACCCACTCGCGTCGACTTGACGCGCCGGACGCCAAGATTGCTCCTTCCAGTCCTCGTTTCCCCGACCTCTGAGCTACAACGTCTCTGCCACGCCCCTGATCTGAACGCCTTCTCGTCTACCATCGGTCTTTGCGACACGTGTTCGACGATTCGAAGCAGCAAATCTATCCTCACTTCTTCGCAAACTCGATCACATCCTCCAACATGTCTGATATCGACGATGAGCTCTTCGCCCTCGCTGGCGGCGACGAAGAAGCAGACGTTGAAGAAGGCGAGGCGTGAGTGACCTCTTTCCTCTACTGCCATCCTCTGCGTCATCGTGCCATTCTGCATCATCGTGCCATGTCCAATATGGCTTCCAGCGACCGCCCTTCCCTCCCTACACACTTTCGAGACTTCCTGAACGACGCTGACTCTCGCCAGCTCATCGCCAGCAGCCTCTTCGCCCAATTCTCTAGGCTCTGATGCTATGGAAGAGTCCGACTCAGACCGCGACGATGAGCCGCCTGCACGATCGGCCGACGTGCCCTACCCCCTTGAGGGCAAGTACATCGACGAGGCCGACAAGAGGAGGATCATGGGCATGTCGCAGCTCGACCGCGAAGAGATCCTGGGTCAGCGTGCCGAGGAGATGAGCAGAGCCAACTTCACAGCCGAGCTGGCACGGCGTGCAGCGAACCTGCAAAATGACAGGAAACGCAAGGTTGACTCGGAAGAGCCTGACGAGATGAGGCGCGAGAACAGCCGGCCCAAGGTCAAGGCGAGGGTCAACGACAAGCTCGAGGAATACAAGCGCAACCGTGAACAGCGCGGCCAGCAAAGAGACCGAGACAACGACCGGCGCAACAACCGCCGACGATCGAGTTCGACCGACCGCGATGGTGCTTCAGACGTCGACGCTGACGGCGAGAGCGATGTTGAGTGGGACGATCGTGCGCCTGCGAAGGCTCGCGAAGAGGCGCCAGCTACTCTCCGCGACTTTGACTCAGTGCGTGTTGGCCGTGGCTTCTTCTCAGAAGTCTGCTTTTACCCAGGCTTCGAGGATGCCGTGACTGGTACTTTTGGACGTGTCGGTGTCGGACAGGACTCGCAGCGCCGGACAATGTACAAGATGGCGCAAATCAAGGGTATGCCTATCCTGTTATCACTGAGAGCGGTACTAACTCGTCATTGCAGGCATCAACACAGGCAAGCCGTACGTCTTCGAGGGCAAGAACGGTGCAAAGGTTGCGACAGATCAATACGTCGTTGCGCAACACGGCTCAACCAAGAAGGACTATCAGTTCCAATTCTTGTCAAACCAGCGCTTCGACGAGCGAGACCTCGACGTCTACAAGCAGTCTCTCGCCGAGACAAACTCAAAGATTTCCAGCAAATCCTTCCTCGAGCGAAAATACGACGACCTCAAGAGCCTCCAGAACCACCACTGGACGGAGCCAGAGATCAACGCACGCATCGCAAAAGCGAAGAAGTACCAACATCTGCTACACCGCAATTCGGTCGACGCACAGCCGAGGATCCAAACACAATCAGAAGCTGCCGCAGTCAAGACCGCAGAGCTCAACCGCATGAACCGCATTAAGGAGGCGGAGCGTGTGCGAAAGGTGCAACTCGAGCAGCAACGCCAGAAGAAGATGGAACAGAAAAAGGAAGCGGCACGCAAGCGCGCTGAAGAGGAGGCTCAGAAGGCGCAAGAAGAGGCCGCGCTCAAGAGTGAGACTGACGCGCTGTTTGGCGATGGTGATATCTCGTCAAGAGCCAGCACACCCAAACTGCAGGACAAGAAGAAGACGGAGCGTAAGGGCTTGCCAACATTCAGGAAACCGAAGACGGATGATGACTTTATTGCGAGTATGGATTTAGACATCGATATCGCCATCTAAGGTCGATGTCGCATCCACTACGGCGGCTCCTACAAGGAGCATCCGCTTCTTTATCACCTCGCCCTCTACACGCCTCTTCTGATTTCGGTTGTCTTGCGTACTGGCGTTCAAGCGCACCACGATGGTCAACATCAGTAAGATCTACACAGCTCGTCACATTACTATAGACGCTCTGCAAAGTCACTATTACCACCTTGCATAATCTATGTATCGTCATCAATATACCCATCTTTGAACCACACAACCACTCTTGTTGACCTTTTGCACGACATTTTTTGACTTGTAGCAGACTATAAACACGTGCACGGTCTCTTTCGATCACATTGCATTCCAAACCTTCCTTTGGAAGACAGTCGGCATGTTTCTGAAGGAAGTCCACAGCTTGAGCATGTTGCTGCCTGCGTGGGTAGGCGTTGTGGGCTTGGACGTATGGCAGTCTTGATAGCTTTTTTTCTTGGCGCTTACAGCACCGGACAACAGACATTTGTCGAGTATGAGGCAAAGTTTTCGGCACCGCGCAGGGCAGACCATGCGTGGTTTGCGGGTTGCTTTTGGTGGTTGTGTAAGGATTGTGCTGTAGAAGAAGGGAAGTGAGGAGCCGAGGTGTTCATACGGTCAATACTCTAATTGCTTGAAAACCGTAGGCAGGGAATGATCCCTAGCCCGTACAGTTCTTCAGAGGCCCAGACATGTCTCATTGCAGCATGTATCCTCGCACAGACAATAGCAAAACATCGACGGGCTTGTCATTGTATTCGTTTATTGGGCCGACCTCTCGAACAGAGGGGCAGACATGCGTTTTCTTGAATGGCATTTCGGACTTCACTTGACCAGAACATGTCTCTCGGATCTTTCTGCTTTCCGTAACGTCGGCAAAATTGCAGGTTGGAGAAGACAAGTATTGGGAAGACTGGGGTGTCTTCCAGCTAGCACCGAGAACTAGACTTTTGATCTTGGCACGGAACCAGACACAAGACAGCCTGCGCTCATCTTCGGTGTTCTGGTAAGTGTTTGTGGCAGGCTGTAAGAACAACCGTGCAGCAGGTCCAGCTGTACGCTTGAGAGTCGTTGAGCTCTTATCTGGTAGGCAGCAGGCCTCGTGCTATCGGCTGTACTGGTCAACAGCGTGGAACATCCAGAGACCACCGTTGTAGCACCGCTCTGTCTTTTCACGTAATTGGACAAGGTCAATACCCAGTCGATAGAATGGGCGTCTAGCAGGTTTTCTCTGTGGCCGTCGGCTGACAAACTTGTGTAGCTTTGCCTTTACGAAGACCTCACACTCCTTTCACTGTGGTGCCTCAGGCTGTTGATCAATCTGTACGCCGTCGACGTGGCTGTCCAGTTGAGCCACTGCTTTCTGGCCGATGTGACCAAACAGATTGTCAGCGTCCTTCTAACTGACTACTAGAGTCTTTCGGTCGTCTCGAGATGGCCTTGGTACTGCGTAGCGTGTTGCGTATACTGACAACAGAGCTGGCTGTGGTGCCTGCTCCCTCTCATCGTCGATCAACCAGTGTCCATCCTAGTACTGTAGTAGACAAATCACGTTTGGCGCCTTCTCTTGATACAGGCAGTCACGTCCTGAATCGAAGTGTACTCCTAGAGGTCTACTACGTGACAGTCCTACTACACTTGTGAAGAATCCAGGTATATATAGGCCACGTACGTGAGCCTCATTTGGCTCCGTCCTGTTGGAGTCTTGACGCTGAGCACAACCTCGCCCCACTCCTCTATCTGCATTAGCACTCCGCTTGCATAGACGTAGTCTGTGGGCTCTCCTCTCTTTGTTGTAATCCAGTTGAGCCCTTTCGTGTTTGTGATGTGACGGTTTGAACGTGGGTCCAATATTCACCTGGTGAGTAATGGTAGCTGGGTCTGGTCGGCTATAGCCGTAGTCTATAGCATAACGTTGCAGTGTGTTGTATTCCTGACTGGCTGGCCATCGTCCATGCTGATTACAGACTGTTTCTTGACATCTTCGGTCAGCTTGCCGTACTTCCTGAGTTGAGCTTCGACCCTCCTTAAGACCTTTGATGCTGGATTCTCTGACTGTTGACACAGTTCGTCAAACTTCCTCTGTATTGAACTGTCGGGCATCCAATGACGTTGTCGTAGACTGTGATTGACGTATGGACAGTCCTTGAACTTATGTTTGTCTCCACAGAGGCATATTACGCGTCGTATCGATTCTCCTCTGCTTATTGGCCCGTCTGGTTTGGTTGCAAACCCTAATCTTGCAAATGTACCAATTAATGACTCAATTAGGCGCGCACATCGATAGTAGGACCGAAATTCTGCCACAAGGTCTGCAGTTGACGCGTACTGTTCCCCTCTCTGGTCCTTCCTGATCAGCCCCTGCAGCTGTGTCGCTGCCCAACTGTGATCAAGGCCCCTAATCGATAGTATGAAGTCCTCTTGTGACCGATTACCGTCAATCTCCGGCATTCTAGCCTCTGTCAGGAGTCTGGTTATCGTCACCCATTCGTTGAACCAGGCGTCTAGATTTGCCTTCTTTGGTCTTGTGCACACAGCCCTGTAATGGCTACGTAGCTGGTGATTCCTCTCACCTACTGATGGACAGAGGTGCTTCTTGAGCGCCGTCAGCCGGCTGTACGGGTCTGAGCAGTTGACAATGAGGCCCCGATGCTTGACATCAATTGTCCTGGCAATCTCAGAATTGAAGCTCCTCAAAGCCTTCTCTTTCTGCAGCCATCGTGCCTCCTCATGGTCAAAGTTCCTTGCCCATATGTTGTAGACAGATACCTCTTCTTCAGATACTCGTGTCTTCTTGAACTTCCATACAGGCTTCTCCTGTGGCTTCTCATGCCGTAGCTGTTTAAGCTCTTCCCTTGATAGACCTGGGTTGACGTACGGCCACAGGCCGTCTCTGTCCGCTGTGTCCTTTCTCACAAAAAGCCACTTCTCCCAGTCATCAGGCTTGCTGAGTATAACTGACATCTTCTTCACTAGCTGGTACTGCTCATACGCACTCATTGTGCTCTCTCAGGGCGTTCTCTGTCTGCCGTTGACGATTGAATCGGTTTTCGTGTCAAACAGCAGTCGGCTATTTTGACAGTACGGTCGACAGCCAGTTGTATAGGCTATAGATAACGGGTGGACGCAGCGGTTAACTGAAGGCTTTCGGGCTCATAACTGTGGCGGCATGGGCCGCTGTAGTACATTGATAGTTATGGTAAACAATAACGTAGGACTATCGGGTCGATGGAATACTGCGCTAAATTGCTATCTAGCTAGGAGAAGACGATATATACTGGCTCTGGAACGTGCTAGTCCAGAACGGTCTAGCCAAGGGTAATCGGGTCTCGTACGGACTGACTGATACCGCAACAGTGTTCTATATCTGATTCGAGTCTTGAGTCAGCAGAAGAGCAGACATAGAGAGAGAAGTTGTATATTTAGTTACTCGACCGAGTTCTTGCCGGAGACAAGCATACCACCAAATCATGAGCACTTTGGGAAAGATCACAGCAGAGCGTGGCTTCAGGCACAGTGGCTTTCTGGACTCTCAGAACTTGAGAAGCAAGTCAAAAACACTCTGAAGCATGTGCCACTTAGAGTGGTCTTTTAGGTAACAGGTAAGAGTTTCGGAAGCAGATTGGTACCACGACATTGGGCTCTTCGGCCGTCGTCTGAATCTCCGAAGATGAGAGATGTAGAGAGAAACAGGACTAGGGCCGCAAAGAGCGACTTATATTCCACATATGCACTCCTAGCACGCGAATGATACCGCAGCTGGCCACTTCTGTTATTGTCGCGTTTGTAAGATCAAGCGTACATGCAACGGTGCCGTCTCCTTTTCAGTTGCATGTTTGGAAGGTTCCGTCGGTCTTACTCATGGCTTCTTGCAGTACGAAAATTTAGAGAGCGATTGAGAAGGCACAGAGCCTATACGCTCGCATGATCGGTATTGCTCAAACTCAGAAGGGACGAGCTGCATCAGGTCCTATGTAGAAGTCCGGGCAATTCTGATGAGATGAAGAGTTTCAAGAGTACGGGTCCACAGCATGAAACCGTCGTGTGGTTCTTTTGGATCAGTATAACAAATGCAATGTGAGCAAGGAAAGTAGAACTACTCTGTGCAGGCTTTTATACCCTCACCTCAGGCCTCCGAGGTCATTACATGAAAGATTTCCGCTTTTGACGTATACAACATTCCCAAAACCGTCAGACCGACAGCTGTCTTCATTGGCATATTTTGGCGGTGAACTTTTCAGTGCCGGCAAGCAACAAATGATGTGTTGATTACAAAGAACAGGTTTTTATGTTAAGCAAACTCCGCGAGGGAGAGACATACGCAGAACGGCTAAACTTTTTAACCTCCAGCTATATGCGGACCGGAACCGAAGGAACGAGCAGACTGGCGGGGATTGAGTTTGTTTTTGGAGCCGCGATCATGACCCCAATGATGATTGATTCGGGCAAGAGAGAAAGACATCAAGTACCTGCTCCGATATTTTGAGTTAATTTGAAGATGGACAGGCAGGACGAGCAGAGCCAGGGCATGATACGTATGCGCAAGATTCTTGAAGGATATGAGGGCTGGGTGACATACCAAAACCACACATAAACGGACAGACGCTTTGTTTGTGGACTTTGTATGGCAGAAGATATGGACAAGGGAAGATGCAATACTGCCGGGGTGGAAGTTTATATGTCTCGCCCAATACCGCTGGCGCGTGACGCTGCAAAAGTAGCATCTTTCCTCTACTAATGTCGTCATATAAATATGTACATACGAATCGAAACCCACTAGCCATATCTTTACGTCGTGCACTTCTGCGCACCCAAGAACTTTGCGACACTTGCCGCTGTGGCGTTGTGCACCGGGAAGGTAGGGTGCAGCTCATTGAGCCACAAGTACTCGTTAACAGCGTACTGGCAGCTGGGATCCTTGGTGTACCATGTCGGTGTGCCGCTGCAGTCGTGTTAGCATACTTCTCCTCATTTCATCCTTCATGCATAAGACTTACTTAGCATACGCAGCACAGTACGCAGTGACATTCTTCAATCCAGCGGTTTGCGGGTAAGCCTTAGGGTTCTCGATCACGTCATTAAAGACTTTGTAAGTGTCGTGAATGAACAGGTTGGCGTCAGTGTGGCTCTTCTTAAATACTGCCGTCATAGTAGCAAGGCGCTTATTCCAGTCCAAAATAACCTTGCCTTCGTTCTCAACCGAATACCCGCCGTCATCCTTGTTAAGTGTCAACGGAGCCAGATTGACAGGCGGCACAGAAAGAAACAAAAAGTTCCGCGCGCCGGTCTTGTACACCTGATCCAGCAGTCCAGAGTAGCGGGTAAAGACAGTATCGTACAGCGTGGCGTTGTTGAGCCACCAAGAGTTGCCGACGTCGTTGATGCCGATGAAGAAGGCGAAGAGCGAATCCTTCGATGTCCAAGGCGCGTCAGCGGGGTGCGAGCCGTAGCGCGGGAGGAACTCGAGTTGCACTTGGTCCTTAAGGGAGAGCACGGTGGGCGCGTAGGGGGTTATGAGCGCGGAGTCGACGGTTGCGCCCCCGTAGGCGAGGTTGTAGGCTTTGATGAAGCTAGTGTTGTAGGTTGTGGCAAGGAAGTCTATCCAGTTGGGGCCGTTGGAAGATGTGTAGCCACTATAAGGACATCAGTAGATTCATAGATCTGAAAATGGTACACCGTACGGGTATGGTGGGTTGCCAAAAGGGTTTGCGGCATTGGGTTGTGTGCCATTGACATCGAAGCCTGTCTGGGTGTAGCTGTCACCGCTGGTAGCTGTTAGTATCAATAGCAGTCGACCGTTGCTGCAGATCTCTTACAAGACAAAGAGGTTCTTAACACCCTTCCACGACGACCATGTGCATGTTGGGGCCGCAACAGCAGAAGCTGCTATCGACAATACAATAGACGTTGACTTGACCATGATGTCGAATGCCGTTGAGGAACTCAGACAAGCTTCAGTAGTTCCTTAGAAGGGGAGAAACATTCCTATATACTGTGTGAGGCTAAATGACAGTACCTGACCATCATCCAGGATCACGGAGAGCCGGGACCATGCCGGCGCGAACCAGGTAGATTGATTAAGATTGATCACTGTAGATTACCCCACAGATTGAATTACCCGTGTCGAAACATTCGTGGAGAAACTGCAAATGGTAAAGTCGATGTCGTACGGTGCTGTGTAGAGCGTTGCGCTAGGCTAATTGGATTTGCCGTTGCCTCTCCGCATCTGAAGAGGCATGGCTCGGTTCAGCTCAAACACGTTGTTGCGGCGATGTTGTTTGGATGTGCATCAGTAACTCCAGGTACTGGACTCGTATGGAAGGCAGAAGGTGAAGTGCGCGCCGGATGAAGGGATGACGATTGAGGTTGTTGAAGGTGTTGAAATTGCTAACTGCGTAAGACGCGGTGACAACCAATCAGAGGGGACTGTTTGCTCACGGCAGGAGCGACTTAGGCTGTTGACCTTCACAACATTCACAACAACCGTCTTCGAGGGCATCGTCTGTATCTCGATGTCTTCTCCATCTCTCGCACGAAGCGAAAAGCCGCGTGCATGATTTGTTGGCGCGAAAACTCGTCCTGCTTCCAGCGTTTCCGGCCATCACGTGCAATCGACTAGCAGGCATGAGGCTGAAAGATCGGAACTCGGCCGTTCAAGATTTCCTAGCTTCCTCTGTCGACACGAGAAAGTTGATCAATAAGATAACGGAAGACTCGGAGGTGCAAAAGCCGAGGCTGGAGGTCTTCACTGCCGTCTGGAATGTTCGGACGTCATCAGATTTGGGATGCAAGGGCTGGTGGTTGTGTGGGCCCTCGACATGGGGTTGGAAGGCACGAGAGCCGCACCTGCAGTGCCACGTCTCCAGCAGGTGTCAGACTTGAAGACTCTGCTGGTTTTGATGGCGGCATGAATGTTGAAGACGGTGAACGTTTGCGCGATGTAGAGCTAAACTGGGCGCAGCAACGAAGGTGGCTGACGGGCGGGAGGCGTAAGGCTGAAGAGATGACGGGGGTGGGGTTGTATGCTCCCAGCCTTCGTATACCGCAGCGTATAGGCATGCAGGATATACGTACAAGCCCGGCGGGCTAAGCAGGACATCGACACCTGTCTGTAACCTGCATGCTGCCGCTGCTCGTGCACAAGGATTTGAAAGCTGTTCAGACCCGTGGAACAGCGTGTTTAGTGAGCTGCGACAGCGTTCAAGACAGGCTCACCGTTCTTCATCCATCGGCCGTACCACCCCCCGACCACGACCACTATTCAGGTTTCTAGCAGCCTGCCATTGTGAAGCTGACGATTCGATTCCCCGAGAAGCCGCGCCCGTATAATACCTCGCTCTTGCCATGTCCGCCTGCTGAAGCGTCTCTTGTTGTACATCGCTGCCCTCGAATTCCACCTTAGGCATTCATTGTTGGTATCGATACGGCATCTCAGGTACCGAGCGTCAGCGCGAACACCTGAATAGCGCAGGAGGAGAGCCACGAGTCGCAAAAGTGTAGGTGCACTACACACATACTATACACATACTATACACAAAGGATGGCGGGCATGGAGAACATCGAAGTGCATAGCAAGGTAGGTCTGCCGTGCTAGCTCATCGTTCGAGGCTGACCTAGCTGCTAGTCGTACCTTGTCCGCTGGGTCAACGTCTCTGCAGGCCACACCATCTCCTGGAGCATACAACCGCACAAGAAGTCGCTGAACTTTGGCATCTTCAAGCACCCCGGCAATGCAAGCGGCGCAACCCCGAACCTGCCCTCCGACACCACTTTCGAGAATGGCCCCTCTGCGCCCGCGCTAGAGGTACCTGTCGGCTACACACGAGCACGCGGCGCGTCAACTTCACGAAATGAGAGAACTTTTGTGCTGGAGAAGCTGTCAGCCATTGGGCTGAAGCAGGTACATTGGCAGGGGAAATGTGAGGCCGACCTGGTGTCTATGGGGACCTACGATGTCCCGCAGGGCGAGGGCGGCATGTATGGCCTGGTATTCGACAACACCTTCTCCAAGACGGTGTCAAAGACAGCGACCTTCGTTCTCATGACGTATCCCACCAATGCACCGCCCAAGTCTGGTCACCACATGCACTACGCCCAGGCAATGGCAGGCGCCAGCTCCACCAGCCTCACTAAGTCGAGCCCCTCCATGGGCCCCGTCGAATCGTCTGAGTCGCTGCCACAACAACTCGCAGAGCGTCCGCGCTCTATGCATGACAGACCAAAACAAGCTAGCGTCTCTAGCTCGTCGTTCATGACCGGTGTACTGCAGAAGAAGAGGCGGAAGAGGAACCAGGGACATGCTAGGCGCTTCTTCTCGCTCGACTTCACTACCTCGACCCTCTCGTACTACCGAAACAACCACTCATCAGCTTTGCGCGGAGCCATACCTCTGTCCCTCGCAGCCATTGGCGCAAACGAGGAGACAAGAGAAATATCAGTTGACTCTGGGGCTGAGATCTGGCACCTCAAAGCAAACAATGCGGCGGACTTCGTCAAGTGGAGAGACGCGCTCGACAAGGCTTCACGGTCAGCAGTCGCCACAGCATCACCTACCTTGCAGATCAAGGAAAGTCCTTTCCAGGCTTCCACCTACACTCAAAACGCTGTAGAGGACAACGAGTGGGCTAGGGTCGAGACGCTAGTGAGCAGGCTTACAGGCTCACGGGATGCTGTTCGAAGGCTGGCCCAGGATACAGACCCCAAGTATGGCGCATCGACAGCTGCTTCGTCAGGAGCATTGACGAGCAAGCTGAATGAAAGCCTGTCTCCTTCGCCATCGGAGGAGTCGAATGACTACTTCCCTGAGGCGGGCGCTCCAGAACGTAAGGCTTTCTGGAAGCGCAAGGCCAGCAGCTCTGGACAAAGTCCTTCTGGCATGTTCAGGAGAAGCGTATCTGCACAAGTAGGTGTTGCTTCGCCTGGCGCTGTTCCTCCGGTACCTCCTCTACCCGCGAACATCAACGGCGCTCTTGCAGTTCCAAAGCGCAACAGTCGTGCGAACAACAGCTCTTCCTTACAAGAGGACAGCATTCACGACCACTGTATGGCTTTGCTGCGAGATCTCGATTATGTCGTAAGAGAGTTCTCAGATCTCATCAATCAGAGCAAAGAGAGGCGAAGATCAGCACCTCTCTCTGCGGTGCCCTCCCGTCACAGCATCGACTCACAAGAGTCTGCAGACGAGTTCTTCGATGCGGAGGGTGGCGATGGGTCCAAGTCAAACTTGCTTGCCATTAGACGGGACAGCGAGGAGGTTGAGCAGAGACAAGATGACGAGAGCTCAGATGACGGGTCAGAGTCATCATCAGAGCACGAAGCAGCTGGTGTCATTGAGCGGGCGCGCTTCTCGATGGACCAGGCACCCTCACTCTTCCCCTCCAAGCCAACCTCACTCGCTCCGCTACCTCTCGACCCTGTCAAGCGCAGGAACGTCATCCAAGCACCTAAGGTACACCCACCAAGCCTGATTGCGTTCTTACGAAAGAACGTCGGTAAGGACTTATCCACCATCGCTATGCCTGTGTCATCCAACGAGCCCACATCAGCCCTGCAACGGCTAGCTGAGCAGCTCGAATACAGCGAACTTCTCGACGCAGCTGCATCCGCATCCTCCGACACCGGCGAACGCCTCGTCTACATGGCCACTTTCGCCATCTCCGCCTTCAGCAACAGCCGCGTCAAAGAACGTGCAATCCGCAAACCTTTCAACCCCATGCTCGGCGAAACCTACGAGCTCGTGCGCGAAGACAAAGGCTACCGCTTCATCGCGGAGAAGGTCGTCCACCGCCCGGTCCGCATGGCCTGCCAAGCCGAAGCGAAGGAATGGACATTCATCCAATCTCCCACACCCGTCCAGAAGTTCTGGGGCAAGAGCGCGGAACTCAACACCGATGGTCGCGTGCGCATCTTCCTCCACAACAGCAATGAACACTACTCCTGGAGCATCGCGACCTCATACCTTCGTAACGTCATTGCAGGCGAGAAGTACATCGAGCCCACGGGCACAATGACCATCATTAATGAGGTCACCGGCGCAAAGGCCGTATGCACGTTCAAAGCTGGTGGCATGTTCGCTGGCCGTTCTGAAGATGTGAGCGTACAAGTTTTCGACGGCACGGGCTCGGTGCTACCGATGGGTGCAGTTGGAAAGTGGACTACGGATCTGCAGTTCACATCGAACGGCCAGCCTACGGGGAAGAACGTGTGGAAGGCTGGTCCGCTTGTTGAAAAGCCTGAGAAGCATTACGGATTCACTTCTTTTGCTGCTGCGCTGAACCAGATCACGCCTATTGAGGACAAGCATACACCGCCTACTGACTCGAGACTTCGTCCTGATCAGAGAGCTTGGGAAGATGGCGATCTGGATAAGGCGGAGGCGCTGAAAGCCAGGCTTGAGGAGAGACAGAGGGCGAGGAGACGCGTTATGGAAGAGCATGGTGAAGAGTGGAAACCGAGATGGTTTACGAAGGTTGGGGCTCAGGAAGCGGCTACGTTGGGTGATGAGGAAGTATGGCGCTTGAAGGGTGGGAAGGATGGTTATTGGGAAAGCAGAGAGGCAGGACGGTGGGATGGGGTTGTTGATGTTTTCCAAGCTTGAGAGTTTTGGACAATGTGGTGTAGGTGGGAGATACACATGAGTAGACATGAGAATTGATCACATAATCCATCAAGAGCGGACTCATCAAATGCTGCATGCGAAGGTATACAAATGCCTCCCTTACTCGCGTTGCGTCTTCCTCTCTACAACATCGTTCTTTCCTAATTACGAAACGGAACAACTTGTTGCGGTATCAATCGGTCCGTATGAGGCCTGATTGTTGCTGGTCAGACTATTCTGGACTAGCATGTCTCAGAACAAGCGTATATCATCTTCTCCTATCTAGATAGCATCTCAGCGCAGTATTCCATCAACTCGATAGTCCTACATTGTCGTAGCTATCAGTGTACTACAGCGGCCTGCACCGCCACACAGCTCAACTGGGATGTTTGTGCGAAGACCCCAAAATTGCCTTGCCGTCAGGATATGTTCTGTTCCCTCCGCTTTTCTCTTCGATCTTTCAGAAACGACTAAGTCTGTCCGCATGGTCCGTCCAAAATACAACAGCCTGATTTGAATATCCAGCATCTGTCCATAATATTACACGCGTCCCGCAGATCGCTACATGTGCTCGACGTCCTCCAGCGCAAGCTTCTACAAAATCGTTTCCTAAGCTCTCACGTCTTCTACCCCTCACACTGTGCTCCTTGTGCCTGAATACAAACTACATAGACATACGTCCTTCCAAAATGTTACCTTCCCTTATACTTGAGTCTTGTTTTCTCCCAACAACAAGAAAAAATATAAGCGCAACTATGTCTGCCCCTGCAGGAAAGTCTCAAGTTCACGCCTGCACCTAACTATCGCTTTCTTGCTCGCTAACTTCGTTCGTACGTCAAAGAGATGTGGCGCGCCTTCATATGACACTTAATGTTCGAACACTCAAAGGCTATATTGAGATCCTGGGCCCCGATCTCCAAAAGGTTACAAGATTCTCCACCCACTGCCTTAATTGTTCGCTAGAGACGAAGTTTACAAAAGTTACCATAGGCGTCATTAATGTTTGGAGTGCCTAGAGACACAGTGATATAAAAGAGTAGTCCTTTTGCTTAGGCACTATGCTCTTGCTCTTGTCTTTTCCTTTTGCCAACTCAGAAGAGCTGTGGTCAACGAATATGTTAGTTGTGCGACGTTCTTAAAAAGTAGAGCCTGTACCCAAGCATGCGTGCGGCGCCTCCAGAAGTTCTAGATTTACAATCAACGATGAGATGACACTTGATGCATTTTGAATCAATGTCGGAAGCATCGATCCCTGCTCTTGGGTGAAGGTATCAGAAAGCAATCTCGCCCACTGGGCTGGTCGGAAGAGTTCCACCGTAGGAGGGTATATCTGCACATTCCCACTATTCCTTGAACTCTTGTGCATCCCCAGTTATCTTTTTTCGAGACGTCGAAAAGCTGAACTCCACAGTTTCATATTCCTCGCTGGCTTGATTAAAAACTACACAAGATGCAGCTATGTCTGTAGTTTGCGATAACACTCCAAATGTTCACAAAAAGTCCATTTTGGGGTTATGTTTGAAACTGCCAGCGTTTAAAGATTTCTGGAGGTCAAACATGCTTCAGGAGGATCTGAGTGACATATTAGAGCAGTCTGTTCCTTATCATCTTTCCTCGCCGTACATCATTACCGTCGAGTACTCAAAGAGAAGCCGAACAGGATGACATGGCTCTGTGCTCCTGCCAATCGAAAATCTCAACAGACATTAGCATGTCTGGGTGCAATATATTTTCAGGTCTCAAACCAAGAGCGAAAGTATGTCGGCAATGATATCCAAACGATACACTTCATTTTCAACGTCCTCTTTCCCGAAATAGAAGATCTGACAGAGCCATAGAAAGCTCATATGTCCTTCGCGGGCACACGCAGATGCCGGTGCGCTCTTCAGCCAGTACCTCGTGGTTAAACACGTTCTCCGCTCTATTTCGAGGTAAAGTGTTTTCGAAGTACAATTCAATATCTCCATATTGCTTGGAAAGAGCGCATGCCTCCAAGAAGGTACCTCGGTTGGCGACACGCCTGAGTCGTTGAAGGTGCCGTCATCGTCCCGAAAAGTGATGTAGAGATGCGAATGCGTCTCGAGGCCCTGCAGCTCTCAGACTAGGATTTCATGGCATGAAAACGCTCTTGAGACGTGTGATTATGTGTGTTAATTATCATCACCTCCTCCTAAGTTTGCAATGCCAGTAGTGGGGTCTTCTGTACTGCAACTCTCGAAACTGGGCGTCCCGACCACATGTTCCGTGCGCAAGCGGCAATATAGCAATAATACGATGGCTGGTGTTAACTGTGAACCACTCGTTTGCAAGGAACAATGTTTGTATGCATGACCTACCTCGAAACATTTATCTGAAGAGACTGCTTAGGCCGTATGGGGTAGCAAACGACTGACGCTATCGATATCATTTCAACGAGGGTATGATACGGTAACAGACTTCGGAGTAGCCGCTGCGTGTTAATCAGGGTATCATGCGGCGGGTGTCGGTGTGAGCGATGCAGTGCAGATCAATCCTGCCCTGCACTGCTAATCGATATGCACGATCATGTGCCTGTAAGCCTACCAGATGTGCGCTGGTATTGGGAGAAGGTCTCAGTGCAGACGTATTGGTCGTAACCGGCGAGCCAAGCGAAGATTCTTCTTGTGAGGCGCCTTCTTGGTAGTACTGCGACAATGCGTAGCTTGAGATTGAGCGATTATTGAGTGCTTGTGAGGTACGGATGGATGACCATCGAGTGGACGAGAGTGTTCGAGGTACGATGGGATCATCTCATGGGTACTCAAGAGTTGTCGCCCTCCGAGGCAGGGACATGGTCGATCAACCCAGTCCCTGAGCGATGTCGAGCGGCTGCCAACACGCGCTCGATGACGTGGGGCTTCTTTTGGCTGAATCTACACACTTTCAATATGACAGCTGTACCTGGCGGCATTTGGCACCTGTTGACTATACCAGTAAGGTGCTTGCGCTCGATTCTGCACGTTGAGCTGTCAAGCAAGCCAAATTCACAGATGCATCTCGCGTAACCGAGTCATATCGCTACGTTCGGAAGCAGATGTTCCTTCTTGGTGGGCCTCTGACGTCTGCTTCGTCTGACATTCACCATAGAAGTAACGATCACCATCAGATACGGTGTACTGCTGTAGCTCTGAAGTTCATCACATATCTAGGGTATCCAATACGGCTGGATCGTGACTATATGATTGGCTCGGAAATTATAGGCGGTGGTCGGCGATGGCCGAGAAAGCAGATCCGATCTTGAAGCAGTTCTCTTAGCAGCAGTTCCTGATCACCGACTGATCGCCCATGGCTCTCGGTTGTCGCGCTCGAAAATCACTCGGCTATCGATGGCAGGGCTGTCAACCTCGTTCTTGGACGCGACAAGATGATGCTTGACAAACAGACTTTCGGGCGAAATGTACTATCTCGAGGGAGGCAACTAAAATCGTAGCTGAGCGATTTCGTCAAGGTGATATTCCTAAGCATGCACTCAAGCTCCGCCCGGGTCACTAGCGAGCGGGACCACCGCTCCACATTGTATTGGTAGCGTGGGGATGAGAAGAGGCTGGTATTCATGGACGGGGATATACTTCGTTGCCTCTTCGATGTGGTTCGATATCCTGGGCGCGTCGAGCAGAGCAACAAGTGGTTGGCAGCAGAGGAAACCAAACATCAAATCTCGTGCACCTGCTAATGGGGTTGATAGATGGCAGCACCTATGGGTGGAAGAAAGTTAGAGTTTGGTCCAGAAACGCGGAACCCCCTCCGGGATGAGCCCTGCCGCGATTCCGCCAGCCCGTGTTGCTTAGCTTCCCGCTTGCTAGTAAACTGGAGGCATGACGCAAGTTACTCAGTTCGCATCAGCACTTGAGTTTGTCGTGTACATTTCAAGCTCGATGCTCGATGTGAAGAGCCATATATGTAGGCATCGGATGTTGGTGCTGATCGACAAGCATTGGGCTTCCTGGAAAGCGGATTAGCTGGAGTAACTGCATAGCACAGGTCTTACTTGCCCCTGCACCGTAACAAAAATCAGGTGCGACGACGGACAAACATGGAATCTGCGGGCCGGCAAGTATCGTTTCGGGATGAGATCTCGCCCAGGATTGGAGTGCGATCGCTTCCCGCCGAAATGTTAGATGATGTGGCCCCGCGTCTGGTGTGGATGCAGCATGGACCCCAACACCAACATATTTGCCTGATAGGGACCTAACCATGCAGTAGATCAATTCAAAAGGTCGCCGCGTCGTGCCTACTCGCCTAGGTTGGACTCATGGGGAAGCCGGGCTCCAGTTATACTCTGCATGAGGCTGCATAAAGTTATGGAGTAGCCGAATGGGGATGCCATCGGAGCGGCCGATGACGTTGAGCGCTTTGCATGGCGCAGAGACGCACGGCGACCTTTGGAATGTGAATTTGCCAGAAGGCTACATGTCACATCGATTTTGAAGCTGTTGGACTGTCAACGAGAGAGTGCGGTTGCTTTGATCGTCATCAAGGTTCCAATGTTCGTGTTTGCACTGCAAGCCTTTCGGGCCCTGCCTTTCCGGGTTTTCATAAGCGAGCCAACTTTAACCACACCTCCCTTAACAATCTGCGAACCATCACCAAGGTTTAATACGTTCCTCAAGCGACTCCAACCCAGCGGAATATTGGCAGTGGAGATTAAGATGCAGGCACTTTTGTGTCGACCATGTCCTGTCTGGAGCCCTCTTTGGTAGATCAGTGGAGTATGCATACGCCTCCAATCGCGATGACCTGAGCTGGTCTAGCGGAATCAACCACCAACGATGCCGTGAGAACCAAAATACTACCGCTTCCCGGCTAGAAGCGAGCCGAATAACGTAGCATCCAGGCTTCCAAACAAGACGACACCTGCAGGCAAGCTCTTCTTCTGTACGCCAACCCGCTTTGGCACAAGCCGCCCGCTGCCTGGCGTGCTCTGTGACTCGCGTCAAGGTAGGCGCATCGACCTCGAGCAGCTCATACATCTCCCAAAATGAGCTGTTCGGCTATCAAGAGCTTCTTGCATGATCTCAGATCCCACTATGGATCTGGTCGGCGATCAGATTACACACGCCTTGGTCTGGCCCACACGCCATGCTCTTTGTTACCATTGGCACATCTTAACACTGATTTCGAAGAAAGCGTTCAAGATTTTGATCATCAAGCGATCATGGAGAGCGTATCAAGATGGAGTTGACATGAAGCAACTGTTGCGTAGTCAGGCAAAGCTATACTGAGCTCGTTGGACGGTGTCTGCTCGCAAACTACTGGATGCTCCATCGCTTCAGACCTCAGGTCCATGCTCGGCAAGCCATTTTGAATACCCACTGAAGACATCGCATTCGCCACGCTATGAACGTTCCCATCAAATCCTTTCTTCGGCTTTACATCGGTCAAGCCAGCTATGATGCTTCATGCATGGCGAGAGCCATGTACCTTGTCTTCCCCACCTTTGGACCTGCCTTCGTAGAGGGACTCTACCTCCGATTATCTAGTCTATGCTACCTTCTACAGAAGAAGACAGCGATCAATCAACCAATGAGGCTGGTATATGCGGCGCATACGCAACGTCTTCCGGACATCGCTCGCGAGCTCCGACGACACCTCTGGAAAGCCGGACTGTCTTGTGCATGATCGCTGGGCCCTTTGCATCACTAGACCAAAGCTCGATCAGGTGCTCATCCCTGCCCGTCCAGAGCTCTTTGCAGCTACCTCGAGAGCTCATCCTAGTCGAGCAACGATAGCTCTTGCATACATCAGCTACTGATGTCATGGGCAACCAAAATTTAGGATGAGATGATGAAGATCAATACTATGGACCACGACGCCCCGCTTTTGATGTTCATGCTGCAGTCTCAACCAATTCTAGTTCTGTGAGAAGATAGTATTTAGCCAAAGCGCCCGCGGCTCAAGTAGCTCATACTTCCCAATTGATTTCCACATGCTTGGACTCCGGTATTTCAGTTCGTTCTCCCAAGTCAGAACCTGTATTCCTTCTAACTAACATGGTCTTCAGAAAAGCACAAGAACAAAAAGACTCAAGATCCAGAAGAACAGCCTGAAGACACTTCCCGCTCTTCATCGACTACGTCTGCAGACCACCAGGTTACTGCCACTCCAAGCTCTACGAAGCAATCTCCTGTCCGTACGGAAAGTTCAAAGGTCAAACGCTCAAGCATTGCTTCACGTTTTAGACGATCTTCATCTGTGGACATCGCTACGACTACGCTTGATACCCCAACTCCGAAATCGCGACCTGTTTCCGACTTCCAGTCAGATCTTACTACCGCAGCAAACTCCGGCCAAGCCTCGGAGGCTGCCCAAGTAACGTCCACTCCACCGCCCAGCACTGAGCCTAGAATTAGGACAGTCGCAAGCCCCGAGCCACCACGCCCTCAATCATCTCTCACGCTATCAGCTACACCCGTGGTTGCGAGTTCTGCCCAGCCTTTCGAGCCTATTGAAACAGCGTCCCATACATCTGCGGACACGCTGCGGAAATCTGATCAACCTGCGCAAGTCACATCTCCTTCGAATCGGGTTTCGATCTCGACCCATCTGTCGAGCCAAGTCTCAATCATATCTAACACACCCTCACAATCGATTCAGCCACCAACTCAGTTATCCATTGCGATGTCTGCAAAATTGTCGTCACCAAACGGATTTGGTGACCACAATGGCACAATTAGTGTGCTTAGCCCACCTATGTCGCCAAAGGGAGCCCTTCGATCAAAAGGTCGTCCGAGCTCTTTCACCTCTTCGCGCGCTACGAGTGGGAACTTTGGTATGAAGTCATTCAGCAAGCGTGGTGCCTCAGGTGGTGGCTACAAGATCGGCTTCGTCCAGGAATCAGCCATATCTCTGAGAAAGCGAAGTATGGCTGAGCTCGGTGCTGGTGTACACCAAAGCATCTCAGATGTGTCCTACGTGAACTTCCTCGAGTGGATCAGGGCTGAACGCCTCACCACACTTCCACACAAGGGCAGTCGCTGGGACAAAGTGCTCATCAGAGCTCTTTACTTCGCCGAGCAGTTGCACAACTTTGACCAAGCGATTCAGAGCTTTGCTCTTGACAGCCAGGCTGCCGCTGCGGTCGGCTACGGCCACGCTCGGCTCCTTCTTGAGGTATGTTGATCACCAGATTTTGACCTAGCCCATTACTGATCTCAAAAAGCTTGGTCATGAGAACTCCGCCGCTCTGGACAAGGCGTTCTCTGTCCTCTATAAGTTCTCACTATCGTTCTCCTCGGTTCTACGTCGTTCAGAGCTGCTCGCAGCTACTGCCGAGATCCGAGAGCAGCTGTGTCTTCTGTACACAGACCTCATCTCACTGGTTGTCGATGTGTCGATTAGGTTCTACAAGACCGCCAATGGTACGTATTCTACTTAGCTTCAGTATGCATATCTGACAGCAGGCATAGGCATGACATCAGGTTCCGCAAGCCTTGACATCTTCGAGCTCTTTGGTGAGACTATTGAAGGGTTCCGGTCGCGCCAGAACTCCGTCGTCGAGCTCATCTGGGAATCTCAAATTGAAAACGAGGATTTTGAGGAAGGCGAAGCCTTGGATGTGAAAGTTCTAAGCAGGTGGCTGTCTCCGCAGGATCGTGTGCTGGCAACCTTGAACCGCGACCACTCCTTCTTTGTGGATCAACAGGTCGAGATGACCTGCATCTGGTTCCAGAAATACCTCACTAGGTTCCTGCAGAGTGACAAGAGCTTTTTGTTGGTGACTGGTCAGGCTGGAGCTGGCAAGACTACCCTCGCCGGCTCGATAGTCGAACGTCTCCAGCGACCTGTCAACCGCAAGCAAGTCGATACACTTTTTTGCTCTCTGTCTCCAGATATTCCCACAGCGGCCACATCCCTTGCAGTCGTCAAGTCCTTGCTCTCACAGCTGCTGAGCCTGCGGGTGGGTAACATGGGAATGTACTACGCTCTATTACGAGCGTACAATCACTGCAGAACTTCCGGTGACCTCAAGACATACGAGGAACATCTCTGGCAGGCGCTCGGTGATACTCTCAAGCACCCTCTTGACGGTGGCAATGACCTTGTCATGGTCGTAGATGGGCTTGATGAGATCGAATCTTCTCAATCAGCTTCTATTCAAGCAGCTGGAGGCATAAGCTCCTCCACCCTGCTGGAGAAGCTGGTCAGTGTAACCAACCAGGGTCAAAGAGTGCGCCTGATCACGCTTTCGTCTACGGCCAAGTTGCCAGCCCAAGCCAACGGCATGCTTCATGAAGTCTCCCGCGAGGACGTTCGCGATGACCTTCACGCCGTTGCCTTGCGAGCCTTAGTCCACAACCGCAACTTCCACAGCAAGCCTGGAAAAGAGCAAGAGACTATGCTTGAGCGCATCATCCAGGCCGCCAACGGATCCTTCTTGTGGACTATCCTTGCTTGCGAGCTTCTGAACTTCCAGAAGTCTGCCGATGCGATCACATCCACCTTGCGGGATTTGGAGTCGAAGAAGCCGCCTGTCCAGAGCCTCGTCCACCAACTTTTCACTTCATTCGAACCCACTAGCAACGCAAAGACCTTGTTGTCTTGGATCCTTGCTGCTGAACGACCCTTAACCACAGAAGAAATCCACACACTCTTCACCGTGGATGTCAAGAGCGGCACCCTGACAGACAAGGGTATTGACGTTCACGAGACACTACAGGCACTCAAACCATTCTTGTCATTGAATGAACACATCGTTCGTTTCAGACATCCTATCGTTCACTCTGCTCTCCATGATCTCGCACAGAAGAACCAGGTCTCAATCCCTCTTAATGACAGCGAGTCAGACCTCTTGCTACGAGTCCTTACGTACGCAAAGTTTACTCTTCGCGACAAGGGCGAGCCTACGATCGACAACGACGACCCTACTATCGCCGACCGTCTCTTCCGCCAGCACCGTTTCCTCGAGTACGCTGTCAGGTACTGGGTTCTCCACCTTCAGCAGTCCCCTCTCATGCCCAAGAACCCGGCTGAGTTCAAGCCTACTGGAGATCTGCAGAAGGTCCTGCCAGACACAACTATTTTGCCTATTCTGGAACAGCTCGTCTGGGGTACGCAGCTCCCACTTCCTCAAGCAATTGACCTGCATCTTCTTGTGGGCAATGTGCGCCGAGCGGTGTACACTGAGAACCACCCCACTGTTCTCCAGACCTATCTTGCGGTTGCGACATCTTACCTACTTCTGTCGGACACCACGCAGGCTTCTTCGTACTTCTTCCGTTGTACCAATATCAGCCGCACTGTGCTGAGCGATATCCATCCTCTGACATTGGAATGCGCGAACCATTTCTTGAAGATCTCAGAGTCAATGGTCACGACCACACGTACAGAGATCATGACTCACCGCGAGCACATCCTCATCGTTCTCATCACTGCCTACGAACGTCAGTACGGCAGCACCTCCGAGCTTGTCACTCAGACTCGCAAGCTTTTGGTCGAACTATACGCTTCGCTCAAAGAAGAGGACAAGGCGCTGGAGGTTTTCCGCCTCATTCAGGAAGCTACTATTCAACACTACGGACGCAACAGCCATCAAGCGCAAGACATCAAAGGTCATCTCAATGTCGTTCTCGGTAAAGGCCGAGGCGAGCGACGTATCGACAGCTACAAGGAGTCTTTCTTCGATGACCAGGACGATGAGAATCAGGTCGAAGTCTTTGACTTTGGTTCAATCGTCGCCTATCTTCGCAGTGCCGAATCGTACGCGTCTCGCAAGGAGTTCGCGCTTGCCGAGCGTACCTACGCCGAGCTGTGGCAGCAGATCTCTTCCAAGTGCCGTACTACACAGTCAATCGAGTGGCATGAGAAAAATATCGAGATCGCGACCGCTTACTCGCAGTTCCTCAAGACACAGAAGCGCACGACCGAATCTTCTGCCGTGCTGATTGTCGTATGGGAACAATACCAGCACCACCAGTTGTCGTATTCAGAGAGCATCGTAGCTCGCCTCACCAGCGTAGCAAAGGAGATGAAGTCAATGGGATCATACACCATGGCCTTGTCGATCTTCAAGCATGCCAGCTCTTTCTACAAGAGCGTCCGTCAAGAGGAATCCAGTGCTTCGCGCGAAATCAGCAATCATGTATCTGAGACCTCCACAGAACTTGTGCGACAGAGCTTGGCGGCTTCAAGCTCGTCGAGCGAAACCACAACGACCGTGTCTGAGTCAGTGTACAAGGACGTCTTCTTCTCCGTCATTCAGTCTTCGAAAACTATTGAGTCCAGCACAGTCGCTCTTGCGAAGAAGCTGTCCGCCAAGTACATGGAGGAGCGAAACTTTACCCAGGCTATTAGTGTCATCCAGGCCACCCTCCAGCGGACGTGGTCCTCATTCCTGGCCAGTTCTATCCATGATGTAACTCTCACGTCCACTTTCACTCAGGAGTCCATCGACCTTGTCGAGCGCCTTGCTGAGTGCTACTTGCAGCTGAAGCAGATGGAGAGAGTCGAGGACACATACAACCGCTTCTTCCGTGCCGCATTGGTCACAAAAGAAGTCGACAAGACTATCTTTGAGAAGGCTCGAACACTTCTGATCGGCTTCTACGACAAGTATGGCTACCTGGACAACGCCATCAGCGTCTACCAGGGCATTCTTGTGACCTACCGCGCAAGGTATGGGCCCACTCACGAGCTCACTATCCAAACTCTCTACATCTTGGCTCGTAGATGCCAGCAACACCCAAGGAACCATCCTTACTGGGTCGAGTACTACCTTCAGATCATTACGAGCCTCAACAAAGACTCAGACATCTGTCACAAAGATGCTCTAGATGCCATCATTGTGGTGACTACTACGTATTGGCAAGACCGTCGCTATGCTGAGGCGGTCACCATCTACCGGACCCTATGGAACACCTTTGTGCGCCAGACAAAGCAACACAAGGTCTTCAGCGAAGAGAAGTCTGTACAGAACCTCTATGAGCGTTACTACCAGTGCCTCGAAGAGACTAAGGCCAGCTTCGAGTCATTGTACCAGGTCACCAAGGAGTACCGCGAGACGGTTATCGCTACGTTCGGTGCTCAGTCCACAGTCGCAGTAGAGGCGACCCTGGCGCTCGCACAGGTGTCACAGCGTAGCGAGGAGCACATCTCTCAAGCGATCTCGCTCTACGAAGAGGCTTCCAAGTCGACCAAGACAACTACCACAACTACCAGGTCGAGCGAATTGAAGCAGGCTTTGTCCTCGCTTTACGTTCGCCAGATGAAGTCTCAATCATCCTCAAGTTACAAGGCCGAACACGTTGAACGTGCTCTTAGCATGACCCAAGAGCAGCTGAAAGAGTCTACAAGCAAGCATGGCTACTCATACGAGTCATCACTCACGTACGCTAGGGAGCTGGCGACCTTGTACCAGCGCCAACAGAAGACTGATCTCGCAGTCAAGACCTTGACCAATGCTGCCTCTCAAATCGTTCTGGAAGAAACCTCGTCGCAGAAGCAGATCGAGTCAGCGGCTTCCATCGCTGCCAGCTTCCACGCCTGCCAGCAGACCACTGTTGCACATAGCCTTGTGCAAGAGCTGCACCGCCAAATCTGCGCGAAAGACACACGCTATGCTTCGAAGTGGTCTTTCGACCTGACAAAGACCAGTCGTGCCTCGTTAGCTTTCCTTGCCTCCCTTCAGTACAACCTGCGCAAGGACCTCAATGTTACATTTGCAGAGATCATGGCCAGTCTCACGATGGAGTACATATACTTCGAGCAGTTCAGGCAGACCCTGCAGAACAACGAGTCGCTGACAAATATCCTACTTGCGGCCGCTCCTCTCCGCTTCTTCTTACGCCAGAACGGCCAAGATGAGATGATCACCGTTGTCGAGGACCAAGCGGTTGGTCTTTTCGAGAAGCGGGACGCTCAAGATCTTCACACGCTCAGCAAAGAGACACCTCGTATCTTCATTGTTGGCATTCTGGACCATCTGGGCTCTGGCAGAAACAAGGACTTCAACCGCTCTGTCATCCTGGCTAGCAACGATAGCACCGCGAAGTTGATCAAGGCGAAGAAGTTCCCAGAGGCATACGACATCGCGAACCTCGGCTTCCTCTACGCCAGCAAGCACGATGGCTACAACGGACCAAGGTCCATTGGTTTGGGCTTCAAGCTTGCATCGCTATTTGTTGGACGCGACAGCGAGAAGGCTACCGACGCCGCCTTGCGAAAGAAGATGCTCGAGTTGTCGAACAAGATTGTCAGAAAGATTCTCGACATCTGCAAGAACCTCAAGATCAACTTCGCCCAGATCCAGCTATTCGAGCTGAGCCATCTGTCTGTTCTTCTGGGCGAACAGCACGACTATGAGACTCTGGAGGTAAGATACCTTATGCCCTTTTCTGATCATGATACTGACGCGCTACACAGTGGCTGCTCAACACCTTGTGGAACACCAGAGATGCTCAGCGCTCTTGGCCCCCAGAAGTCCTCCTCAACCTCGGCCGCCGGCTCATCTGTGCTCGCTACCTCGCCGGCTCACCCATCAAGGCCATTCGCCTCGCCGAAGACATCGCATACAACATGCGCCGCGCTCACGGCCCACGGGCACCCGTTACGATCGAGACCTACGAGCTACTCGCACAGCTATACACAAGCATGGGACAAACGTATCAGTCGAAGGCGTCTTCTGAGAAGACAGGCCCGCTGGCACAAGAGTACTTCAAGAAAGCTCTTGGTGTGCACGAGGACATCCTCCGTCTTGTTGTGCACGAGCATGGCTCTGGCGATGACTTGGACGATGAGCTCGACACCACTGCCTACTTACTCGCCAGGGAGGGTGTCAACGTCGAGAAGCAGGAGGGTCAGCCCACCGCGGCGCTCGACACAGAGAACATTGACAAGTCTGCGATTGCTCTGCGCCACCTCCAGCTTCTCAAGCTCGCATACCAGCGCCTCGGTGGCTGGCCCAAGTCCTACGAAGAGTACGAGCGTCTTAACGCTCAGATCTTCCGTACATTCGGCGCTGACGCGAAGTGGAAGGGTGTGCAAGGTACAGAGAAGTGGGGCGCGAAAGAGTTCGGTAACGGCAAGGCTGAGTCCCAGGATGGCGGATTCAATGGCATCGAAGACTGGGCTCTTGGTAGCGACAAGATGATCTTGCAGGCGCAGACCAGACCTCAGCAGGGTGGATCAAACGGCCTGCAAATTGGCAAGCTGCGCACTGAGCCTGAGCAGGCTGTTGCATATGCTTAGAAGATTCTGAGCGTTAATGATACTACGACGGAGGAAGTAATGATGTACAAGTATTAGTAGTCTAGTCTAGTGAATGGCGTTCTTGTTGTTATGGTGCGTGCCAGCTCCCAGTTGCCAGGTGTTTAAGTGAAAGTGACGGACAAAAAGAGCTTAGTTTCAGCTCGCTCTCGCACTTTGCAGAAGCCCCGCAAAATTCTTCCTGCTCTCCTCCCCCAAGATTTCTTCCAGTCACGTTTTGTGTCGAAAGTGAGACTGCTGCCCAGCATGAGTGCCGTCTAGTACGTTGACTGCTCCTTCTGCAGCGCATCATTAACGCTCATCACAGACCTGTAGGCACCTGCGCCTCGAAGCCGGAGTATCAGCATTACATACTGTAACTTCTACTTCGACACCACTCGAATCGATACGGCAAACGGAACCAAGAAAAGAAGCTGTATCCTGATACCAAGATGATAAACGTACTAGATTTGCGCAAGGACCCGCCAATCTTTGCAGAAGAGCACGTGGACAGTACCTTCGGCAAGTACGACATGTACCGTGATCATTCCGCCCTATCCATGGATCAGAAGTAACGCATCGAGATGGAGCTGAGCAAATTTGAGAGATAGATTGTGCCGGTTTTCAAGAAGCTTCTACAAGCGCAGGTTGGTCGCGACCGAGGTGAATGGGATAACTGCGTCACCTTCGCACAGTCTGAATACTTCTTACTGAAGAAGTTCATGAAGTATCGCAGCGCAGTCTCCTCTAAGCGGTACAATCATGAGAGACAGGACGACTACCACGACAAGGGCAAGAGCAAGACGCTTCTATACATGCAAGAGAAGGGATTCGAGCGCCCCATCGATATATGGTTCGACAACCTCATGCACATCATGGCTCTCAAAGTCTAAGAAGGGATGGAGTGGTGCAAAGTAATTGAGAAGCTCATGTTTCCTGGACATGCATTTTGGCTCACGATTAGGATGCGCCTGAAGTACCCTGCCTGTAGTCTGCACTTCCGCCAGCCATGATGAAGAGTTCATCTTCATAGGACATGCTTGCTGCCTCCATGAAGGTCCTGTTGATGATCGATGCGTTATCGAGTTCCATACTATCTGCGTCATGGCATCTCGCCTTGCTATACTTATGCGAAACGACGCTCTGCCCGAACTCATGGACGACACAATTGAGGTTCAACGAGAGCTGAACAAGCCATTACTTGCTGCGCAAGTGAAGCCGCACCGCCACCCAGAAGCTGCAACATCCATGTCCGAAGATCTACACCCCGTTAAGGCACGAAGCACGTACGTTAGAGGTAGCAATGGTCAGCTCGCGTACTCTTGGAGCGGCCCTAGGGCTCAATATCAGGCAAAGGCCCTGTGCTTCCCCACCTTCAAGATCGGCAGCGAACATGTGTAGGCCGCCAACTCTGTTGTTCTGAACGAAGCCTACGACTTGTCCGAGATCGTCTACAACAACAAAGCTTCGCTGCCTCTTGCTCTCAAAGCCTTTCTGCATAGGCCAAGCGAAGGGTACTACAGTCTAAAGAATGATCCATCTGAAGACGATGCTAGGGTTCTCTACATCAAGAAGCTGGGGCGATTTATGCATTCACTCGGGTCTAAAGTCAACTTTGCCTACAAGCTGGCGCTCTCGCGGCATGATGTGCAACAATCTCACGATCACATACTGGGCCCATATCTTGACACGCTCTTATGGGATGTAAGAATGTTGTGTGCAGAAATTTGAGGTAAATGATTCCGCAACTGCAATTCACCGCGAAGAGACTTCAACTTCTTCTTCGTAAGAGCATTTGCTCTCATGAGGATCGGGCCTTTCAGGGTCGTGCCATTGGTCAAGATGCATGAGAAGATGTGTAATGCCGCAGCAGCATGCACACGAAACGAAGTTGCGCAAGTAGACAAGTTATCAGGATCGCTCAGGATTCTGCCCCTTTGTAGAGCCATACTGACGATCATGGATGATGATGACGGGGATAATAAGGTCTTGGTACGTACTGGAAACAAGAAATGACTCAGTGCACCGATCGACTTCCAACTAGTGGGGCAGCATGCACTCCCTTTAGCGCGACCCGATTGCCCAGGCCCAGGTCACAGCATTGCTATCCGCCTTTCTCTCGCTCAAGCGATAGCTCTTTCGACATACCCAGAAGTATATGCGTATCTCGCGGACGACACAGATGCGCTTTGAAACCCAGTCGTGATACACGGCGAGGCATACACAAAGTTTTGACCGAAGAACGAGGACAAATTCGATCAGGCGGTGTTCGACGATAAGCTTTTAGAGAAGAACAGAGAGAGTTGGTATCTGGAAAGGGCAAAAGAGAGAGAGTTAGGAGAAGAGATGCAGGAGACTAGGATTGGGACGATCTGGGTGGTGCAATGGATTACAGTTACCGGTATTACTGATGCAGCGACAAACTACCTCCAACCGACATGTGGATCATCTGCCGTCTCAAACAAAAACCCTCTTCACTCCGACGCTCACACACGTCGGATTCTCCGGTTTCCCAGCTCCAAGCCCCCAGGCAAGGTTCTCGTAGGCATATCCAGAGAAGTACGTCTGACAAGCATACCACCTGTAGTAACCCATAGTCGTCCCTGTCCCATTTGGCGGGTTTGCGGTCCAATCAATATATCCCTGCACATTCAGTCTATCCTGATCGTCGAACGCGAGCAACTGTGGTCTTTCGGATCCAGGTGTGAGGATGGGAATGGCTGAGTCAGTAGTGGGATCGTAGTTGAAGTACACGCTGGAGGGCACGTCGATGCTGCTGGTCTTCAGGGTCCATGTCAAGATTCCAGGAGTGCCGAGAGTAGCATTAGGAGTGAATGGGTTGGTGGAGGTGTTGAAGTTGAATGTGGCAGCTGTGATGGGATTGGGGTTTGAGACGCCGCCGCCTTTAGAGAGGCAGAGCGATTCGAGAGCGGCACCGGTGTGGCATGCTGACAGTGTGGAGCCGTTGATTGTTGTGTTTTCGGATGTTAAGACCAGGTTGAAGGGCTTGGAGGTCTCGTTGTAGAACTGCGCATTGATTGTGGCTGCTAAGAGCAGAATGAGTGTGGAAGTTGCGGTCTTCATATTGACAAATGCTACTCAATGATGTGTGTGAAGTTCTGGCACATTTGTTTCTTTTTTCACGATCTTACAGCCTCTTTTGTAGCCACCAAAATCAGTACTTCGGGTTTGACTTTTGACGTGATGTAGTTCTGCAGGTGGTCAGGTGTACAAGATTCGCCGATCGCAGAGCTATGACGTTACCTTAGCCTAAAGCATCCCAAATGCTGACAACCCCTCGTATTCGTCCTACTCTTTCTCTCACGGGTTGCCTAGAACAGACAGGTGCCGCCAGAAAGGGTAGGATATAGCTGGGTATGGTGTGGTGGCAAGCAAGATGACGAGATGATTCGCAAGGTTTCCGAACAAGCTTCTCAAGCTCTACAAGCATGCGTCACGTCCTGTACAGCTTTCTTTCGATAAGATTAAGAGATACCTGCATCTAATACGAGGCAACAGTCTCTTCTGTGACACACGGAGGCCATTGAAAGAACTGGGTGAACCATTGTTGTACTGTTGCAATGCTGACACTTCAAGGAATACGAGGTTTTGTGAGGGCCACCTCAAGCTGCATTCAACGCGGTCACTTGGCGATGTAACGTGTAGCATTAGATTGAACTCGACCTTCAGATATCCGCGTTGCATACGTTTGACACAAAGAAGGTTCGGAAGAAAGGCTTTTAGCTCGCGCCTGCCACAACAAAGATCTTGCCATCGGATCTAACACTCGATAGTCCTCAATTGATGGGCCCTCTCAAAGATCAGACATGACGTACGACGATTTGTCGCTCTGTATCTGCCACCAGCAAATCCAACTGATCCAGCAAAAGATGACGTCGAATCCAACACTGCCGACCGCAGGATGTTCAAGCAATGCATCGCGAATGCCTCCGAGGTTGCCAGCCAGATAGGCTTTATATGTCGTCCAAACCAGTTGGCCCACGAAGGTGAAATTTGACGTCCACAAAAACTTGTAAATCTTGTTGACGGTTTTTGGATCTCCTATGGGGAAGAACTTGGCTGGTAAGATAGCGCGGGCCATAGGTAGGATAAGCAGTACGACATGCGGGACAAGGAGTAGAGGCATGAATCCAGGTGAGCCATTCCAGTAGTTCTCTCTGGAGAGGCAGTTTGCTGCTGCATAGGTATTGGTTACAGACAAACCATCGATGAGCCATGGACCGAGCCATTTGCGGGGTTTTGATACGGGTGCTAATTCGGGTGCTTCCGATCTGGATTCTTTCGGGTTAGTGAATTCTTTCGGGTTAGGCGTTATAGGCTGTTGCTGTGGCGGGCTTAGAAGCAGTGTCAGGAAGTACAAGTTTGTAGCGAAGCTGATAGCCACGATCTGCCCTAGAAGCATGAATGCCCACGTGTATGTAATTCCCCGGCGGACTCCTATTCTCATCAGTTTCTGCGCGTCAAAGTATACACGTTGACAGACCTTTCCATTCCAAATGAAGCCCGAGGGCACATGCCCAATAGAAGATTTGATGCGACCACCAGTACCTGTTGTGACCCACAATGACACTCTCCCATGCTTCTCTGAACAACGAGGTTTCCTTCAACCACAGACCCCAATGCTTAACAGTTGGGTCGAGATCGTGCTGCGACCGCACTGTAAGCCAATTGTTGTAAGACCATTGGAAGTACTGGAACATAAAGCCCCATGTGCTGAAGAGACTGCATGTAGCCAGCGTTGCAAAGATCACCACATGTCTCTTTTGCGGCAGCCGTGAAGGCGCAGAGGTGTACAACCTCTCTGTTTTCTCGAACAGCTTTGTGATGATGAAAACTGCCACCCCCAAACAGGTGAGAAGATACGTCATGAAGATTCCGTATGGCCGAGCATTGTTGTCGATGCTGTTGAGCGGAATGCTTTTGTTCATATTCGATGCGTGGCGGTCGCTTGTACTCTGCGAGGGATGCAGCTGATGACTTGTGGGAGCTGCGTGTGAAGGCGAGCTTCACGCTAGATATTAAGGCTGACAGGGCCAGCGACAGCGCGTTGCGGAGAAAGGTGATGGTTTATCGAGGCTTAAGGCTTCGGGACGCATCGACTACGTTTCCGTTGGTTGTTTTCGCGTCCCCGGCTCCTTCCCCACACACGTGGTCACGCGAGATTCGAGAAACTTCACCTTGGACCTTCAGCACTGAGTTTTTCAATTGCATCAAAGCCCGTTTGAAGTGGCGCATCTCTGCCGCAGAATAGTGCGCTTCTTCGCGTTCACTTGCTGGATCCAGGCCTAGACTGGTGTTCAATGCCGCGGTGAAACAAACGGCGGTGATGTCAGGGGTCCGTGTGCGCACCTGAACTTTTCACTCGCCCATGTAATTGGCCCGCCATTCAACATCTCACCGCCAGGCCTGAAAGTGCATCTCGTATCCTTCGAAGACTTGCATTCATCTTCAATCTTTCACAGGTCTCGCACAGTCTTGCAGCAACTCGCGACAATGACCGACACGCCGCAGACGACTGCAAGCGAGGATCCCAAAGGAGCTAGGGTCCTTCAGCAACACCTCGACCCCGGGTACGAGTTTTCCTTTGATCCCGAGACACCAGGCGCAGATGGCGCCAACAGTTCTTCGAACTCTGTTCGAGATGGACCAGAGTCATCGTTGAGGCTGCAGGGTGGCGACATCCACCGCGATCTTTACAAAATCGCTGCCAAAGGCAAGCGCCAGCAGCTTCACAAGCGAGCTGCAACCTTCTCAAATACGCATGAGTACGCGCCGTCGATTATATCAGACATCGAGCATGACGAGCTGCCTGTCCAGGAACAGATGGCACCAGGAGGTCTGAGGCGTCAATTCCTGCAAAAGCAGGCCAGAAGTGTTAGCTACATCGCGGAGCCCGTCACCAGGAACTTCATTTCCTTTCTGGAATTGTATGGCAACTTCGCCGGCGAAGACCTTGAAGAGTCGGACGATGATGAGGCTATCGAGGATGATGACGAAGAAGAACAGGGCGAGCGTCGACCTCTGCTTGGGAGGAAACAGAGCTCCAAGAGGCTCAGGCAGCAGGGCGATGCTTCTAACATGAAGTCGTTCTTCACTCTGCTGAAGGCTTTCGTCGGTACTGGTATCATGTTCCTGCCAAAGGCCTTCAAGAACGGTGGCATGCTCTTCTCGGCGATCACTCTGATTGTTGTTTCACTCGTCACATCACTTTGCTTCGAGTTGCTCCTCGCCTGTCGGAAGCAGTATGGTGGAGCTGGTTACGGAGACCTTGGTCAACTGATCGTTGGAAAGAGACTGCGACAGCTCATCCTCGTCTCGATCACACTTTCACAATTCGGCTTTGTGTGCGCTGGCCTCATCTTTACCGCGGAGAACCTGGCTTCTTTCTTCGATGCGGTCACGCCCAACTCGGCGCCACTTGGTACGAACGCCCTTATCGGCATTCAGCTCGTCCTCCTGATTCCGCTGTCCTTTATTCGCAACATCTCGAAGCTCGGCCCTGCTGCGCTTCTTGCCGATGTGTTCATCCTCATTGGCTTAACCTACATCTACTGGTACGACATCTCCTGGATCAGCAAGATGGGTGGCTTCCACCCCAGCATCGAGTTATTCAACCCTCGCGATTGGACCATGACCATTGGTTCTGCCATCTTTACCTTCGAGGGCATTGGTCTTATTCTACCCATCCAATCGAGCATGAAGCAGCCCGAGAACTTCAGCAAACTGTTGTACCTTGTCATGGCCATTATCACAGTTATCTTCACCTCTGTTGGTGTTCTCTGCTACGGTACCTTTGGAGAGAATGTGTCCGTCGAAGTCATTACCAACTTCCCTCAGTCCAGCAAGCTCGTGAACACCGTCCAGTTCTTGTACGCTATGGCTGTTTTGGTTGGTACCCCCGTGCAGCTCTTTCCAGCCATGCGTAACATCGAGCTTAAGATTTTCGGCCGCGCCTCTGGAAAGAAGGACAGCCTCACCAAATGGAAGAAGAACGCCTTCAGGACTGCTTTGGTCATCTTCTCTGGGGTCGTTGCTGCTCTTGGCGCGAGTGACCTCGACAAGTTTGTTGCTCTCATTGGCAGCTTTGCTTGTGTACCGCTGGTGTACATCTACCCGGCATACCTGCACTACAAGGGTGTGGCTGAGCGTCCATGGGCCAAGGCTGGTGATATCCTCATGATGGTTGTTGGTCTTGTCGCTATGATCTACACCACCAGCATCACTATCGCGAGATGGGCCGAGACATAGATACGGGATGGAAAACCAATGTTCATGGTTCGTTCGACGACATCACAACTTGCATTATCATTGGGTTATCATATGATTTCACGCATCAAAAGAGGATGACGAGGGTGGGGTACGATGACTGTATATGAGTTTGGAATGTATGGCGTTACGAGGAGTAAAACTTTGACTGTTCCTTGCATTTCTTTGCCGGCAAGCATGTATCAATAATTGCATATATGACTCGCAACACCTCTCGGCTTCACTGTCACCCAACATTGTCACCGAATCGGAGCTTAAGGCAGTACGATCCACATGTCAGGAGTCACTCATTGCTCAAGGAAGCACCCGCTATCACTTCAGCGATATCGGGCCGATGGCCTCATTGCAACCATACCCCAGACTTGGTGCTAAATTTGGCAGCTAACCTCCCTCCCTGGGGTTAGAACATCCCACCGCGCAGAACCACGAACATCGTTCAAGCACCAATAACTCAACCCCGCCATCTAATGAAGGCTGTGCTGGCCTAGAAGTACACTCCGGACGTGTCTTCGCCTACTGTAAATCTTCAACACAAAAGATACAGCATTGCTGGCTTTGCTTCCAGGCATTGTCTTCAGCTTCAGAAGCTGCAACGACGATGCACTCCTGCCCTACCACTAACAAGCACGATCATCGCCCCTTCGCGGTCTACATTGTACACCCGCGCTATGCCAAGGCGGCTTAAGCTGTGGCGCATGCTGGCTGTCTTTAGCCACGTCATGTCCTGCCCAACGGTCATCTTCCTGGGGCCCCCACAGGTCAACGCCCATCATAGTCCACCCTGATGCTTAGCAAAGCGAGGCAGCCCACTCTCTTCCCCATGTATGCACATGCAGATGCACATGACTGCACCCATCGACATTGACGGTGGCACGCGAGAGTGCAAACGATCGATCCAACAGCCTGGCAGGCTGTCGCGCTTCCATGCTGCTCAGCCTGATGCGACTGAGGACCGAAGCTCCTCCATCACGAAATGCGACTGCTCGAGATACAACATGCCGGCACGATCACGCTCACGGAGGACTTGATGGGCGTCGGCGATGTGCCCGCTTACGCTATACTCTCGCACACCTGGCTGCCTGGTGAGGAGGTCACTTTCGACGAGTTCACTAGAGGTCTGGGACGTGACAAGACTGGCTTTGACAAGATCAGGTTCTGCGCACAACAGGCTCAGCGGGACGGCCTGCGGTACTTTTGGGTGGATACGTGCTGCATCAACAAGGCGGATCCTGTCGAGCTTCAGCATGCGATCAACTCCATGTTTCGCTGGTACCAGGAGGCGACTCGATGCTATGTTCTTCTAACAGATGTGTTCAGCGCTGAGCCAACGACCGACCGTGTACCCGGCATGCCCGCTTGGGAAGGGGAGTTTCGGCAAAGCCGGTGGTTCACTCGCGGGTGGACGCTCCAAGAACTGCTTGCCCCACGCTCTGTAAGCTTCTATTCTCAAGACCGGACGTATCTAGGCAACCGATACAACTTGAAACAACTCATCCACGAGATCACAAACATTCCTTGCCCTGCCCTTGCAGGAGCCCCGTTGAACAGCTTTAGTGTGGAGGCGCGCCTGTCTTGGTCGGACGATCGCCAGACTACGCGTGAAGAAGACAAAGCGTACTCATTGCTGGGTATCTTTGGTGTCTTTACGTTCCTCAACTATGGTGAAGGTGAGACCAATGCTTTCAAGAGGCTACGGAAAGCGATCGCGGAGGACTTGCAGGAATCATCCCAGCCACAGGCGTCAGTGGGGAGTCTTGGAGGGCGCATTGCCACCTATACACCTGGTACGTACAAAGGCAGCCAGACAGCTAGCTTTGTGTGTCTGATACGTTTGCGCTGACCTGCAGCTGCCCACAAACCGTCCTACTACATACCGTTCCCCAAGAATCGACACTTCGTCGGAAGGAAAGAGGAACTTGAGATACTCAGTCAGACGCTGCTGGAGGGTACAGGTTGCCAAAAGATGTCAATTGTGGGACTCGGTGGGGCTGGAAAGACACAGCTAGCCTTGCGGTTTGCATACACAGTCAGAGAGACCATGTCAGCCATCTCGATCTTCTGGATGCCTGCACTCAGCATGGAGAGCTTCGAGCAAGCCTGTGTGGCCGTTGCAGCTGCCTTGCACATCAGTCAGGCGGAGACAGGCGAAGATGACGCAAAAGAGCTGGTGAAAGAGTATCTGAGTGCGGATCAGGTGGGACCGTGGCTACTTGTGCTCGATAACGCAGATGACCACGACACCTTGTATGGGACCGAGTATGCTGCGGGCATCATCGACTACCTACCGGAGAGCGAGAAGGGCATGACCGTGTTCACCACACGGGTGCAAGAGCTAGCCGTGTCGTTGACACAAAGCGACGTTCTAGAACTAGGGTCCATGAGCAGACCAGATGCCACGAACTTCTTGGAGAAGTCTTTGATCAAGAAAACCCTCACTGAGGGCCGCGAAGAGGTAGAAGAACTATTAGACGAGTTAGCGTGCCTTCCTTTAGCCATCGCCCAGGCTGCCGCGTACCTGAACATGAACAGAACAACTATCACAAAGTATCTGCGGCTGCTGAGACACACAGAGCAAGACACTATTAGCCTGATGAGCAAGGAATTCCGCGATCAAACACGCTACAAGGGCTCGGCGAACGCTGTGGCTTCAACGTGGGTAGTGTCGTTCAGTCAACTTCGAGAGCGCGATGTGGTGGCAGCAGATCTGCTAGCGTTCATGTCGTGCATCGAGTGGAAGGCAATACCACAGTCGCTTCTACCAAAGGTGCAGTTGCAAGAGCGGATGGAAGAAGCTATCGGCACGCTCTGCGGGTACTCTTTTGTATCGAGGCGGGGAGGCAACAACACTGGCGAGATCGATGGAGGAGAAGAATGGTACGACCTGCATCGACTTGTGCATCTGGCTACCAGAGTCTGGGTAAACAAGCATGGCAATACTGCAGATGTGGCGCGGCAGGCTATGACGCATATTGCTGAGGTTTTCCCGAGCGACGACTTCGCCAATCAGACTCTCTGGAGAGCATACATGCCACATGCACTGCGCCTACTTAACATAAAGACATCTATCGATGTTCACAGCAGAGCCAAGCTGAGTTATTGGGTGGGACGATGTCTACGCTTTGACGGCAGAGTTCCAGAAGCAGTGAGATGGCTGCAGGAGTGCTATCGTTGCAGAGAGGGGCTGGACACAGATGATCCAGACCGGCTGTCGTCTGAGCATGAACTCGGTGTTTCCTACTGGGCGAATGGACAGATCGAGGACGCTGTGAGGCTGCTAGAGCATGTGGTCAAGGTGCAAGACGATACACTCGCAGAGACTCA